CAAATACTTCTATCCCTATTTCCTTGGAAATCGAGGCAGAACTTACATCTGATCATGTACCTGTCATTGCTTCTCTTGGTGTTTCTAAAGAAGACCCTCCTATTACCAGAAATAATACTGACCGGATTTCTTTTCACAATATCTTAATCAAACATCCTCCTATTTTCACTTCACTTTCTACCAAACAGGATATCGATCTTGCCATTCAAATCTTCACTGACAGTATACTGAAAGCTTTCAGAGATGCTACAGTTACCATTCAATTAACTAACAATAATCAGGGTTGCCACTCAAACAGGAGAATGAAATTCCCTGACTTTTCCAGGTTTTCCAGGTGTGTTTCAAGAAAATTCCAGTCTATCCGCGTAATGTACGTTGGCTGTGCTAAGAGGTAAATTAATTATGGTATTACTTGTATTGTGCAGCAAATTCACTTAATTATTCAATAAATCCCAGAGGACATAAGGCACCTTAACACTTGAAAACACAAATATAATTATAATAGTTGTTGTTTTCTCCACTGAAGATTGAGATTAGAATCTTCCCAATCTGGAATAAAATAAGGCTTTTTTTGCAGACGTTCTGCAGCTAAACGAAAGAAAGAAATCTATTTTAATAAATTGAGGTATTTTATATTTATTTTGCAGCATACATAAGGAAAAAATATGTGCATTAAATTTCGTGATGGTATGTCATCATACTACTATAATTAATTTTAGGATTATGCCAGAGAAAATTTCTTGAAATTTGGAAATATTATTTACTAATAATAAATAAATTTAGAGGGAAGAAGCAACATTAAATTATATGAATAACATAAAAATAATTACTTAAAAATTGAATTAGAATAATCAACGATATTTTAGCGAATATAGTTATATTACATGGCTAGCCTAGATGACTGATTACTATTTTTTTATTTTACTGCAAAATGGCAAGGTATTTATTAAAAAGAAAAAAAAAAAAAAAAAAAAAAAAAAAGGTAGTATACGGTAAGGCTTTGGCACGATTTTGAAAATTGTCGCCAAGACCAAAATGACCCGTTTACTGCGCATCATGATGTCGCAAAATCCCATTATTATTCTAAACAAAGAACGTCTATGTAAAGAAGAAAAGGTTCCATACAAGTAAAATGCTATTACGCCGTTAGAATGCGGAGGGAAAATTTGTCAAGGGATTTGGCGACGGAACCTGGCGGCCAGAATTTCTCTCTTCGCGATGTGTACAGGAAATTGAGAAACACGTGTTAAGAAGAAACGCTCTTTGACAAAAAGAAAACTACGAAAATCCGTTTTTAAAATTATTGCGATAAATCCACGCAATAATTTTAAAAACGGATTTTCGTAGTTTTTTTTCCCCTGAAAATAACTAATCCATGAATTAATTTACTTGCGCCAAAAAATATTTTCTTTTCCTTTAGAGTTTAACCACTTGCGCTAAGACTAAACTTTACGGTTGCGGTGCCGTGCGCTACAATATAACAAGCGGTAAAGTGTCTCATTTACGCCGCTCCGCATCTGCGAGTGCAATCTAGAGCTTTAACTCGAGAAATAAACAATCTCGTTGTTAGGCAACGTGTGCACCACGTTATTTTCATTTTTGCGATAAATGCTTATCGACGTGGTGTTCACGTCGCTCACGGTTTGAGACAAAAGCATCTCGACGTGCGTGGCACGTCTTTTTAGCGCAAGTCGTTCAAGAAATTTTAAACGATATTCATTTTATGAACTCTTGATAACGTGACCTTCGAACTTCGACACCAGTTTCGATCTTCGGCGACAGATATATCAGACATGCACAGCTGTTTCCCTCTATGATGGAACGGAGCCACGTCTGTTGCAGAAAAGTTTTTCTTCTTTACAATACATATTCTTTGATTCTAACCTCCATGGTACCGTATACTAGGATTAAACCCATTTTGTTTTATACGAGAACAGGTACTTTCTTTAGTTCATGCACTGCACATGCGATTCTCGAGAATACTGGAAACCAAAAGTTGCTTTGCCTTTCTAAAAGACAATCAAATTGGAGCTGCGAAAATTGGCTCTATGCCAGCTACCCGAATGACACTCACGTGATACATAATTCGCCAAAAAAGTTATCTCTTCCGACGTCGGCGCAAAAATCGCTTTTTTTGGCGGCATCGTTGTATGAACTTCCCTAACTTTTCCAGATTTTGACAAAAATACTTAAATTCCCTGACTTTTCCCTGAATATTTTGGTCAATTTTCGAATTCCCTGACTTTTCCCGGTTCTCCAGGTAGCGAGGCAACCCTGAATAATATTCGACTCAATCGCAGTATCATCAAAGAAAGAAACCGATTGCTGAAGCTTTGGCACCGTAACTGGGACCCTGCGTTAAAAGAGAAATCAATATTTTTAATAGAAGAATCAAGAAGCTTATCACTGATTTTTAAAAGGAAACAAGAGAAGATTTTATATCTAAATATTAATGATGGTTCTTTGTGGAAGTATCTTCAAAATCTTAAAAAAGTAGTATTAACAATAGACCTATTCATACGGATACTAAAATTGCCTACTCACTTAAAGATAAAGTTGATATTTTCGCTGAATACCTGGAAAAGCAGTTTACTCCTAATATGAAGCCCATGAATCAGACCTTTAAAGATGTTCTGGAAAATTATGTGTATTCCTGGCTTCATTCTTCTTCGGCTCATAACATCCCAAGGCTTACTTCTCCTATGGAAATTACTAATATTATTAGATATCTCAACATCAAAAAAGCTCCTGGAAGTGATCAAATTACTAATAAAATGCTTCGTAACCTTACCTAGAAATCTTATAAGTAAATTCGCTAGTATTCTCAACGCTTGTCTTACTCTCAACTATTTCCCTGATCCTTGGAAGCAGGCCAAGATCTTTCTTCTTCCCAAACCGGGTAAAGATGTGACCAAGCCTGATGGCTATCGTCCAATCAGTTTGTTATCCAGCCTTGGTAAAATTTATGAAAGACTTATCCCCGCAAGATTGGAAACTTTTCTTCACCTGCTACCTAATGATCAGTACGGATTCAGAAAAAACCTCAGTATTACTCGACAGCTAGTAAGATTTGTAGAATTTGTGGGATCTGCATTCCATAACAAGCAAAGTGTTGCACCCTTTATGCTGGACGTGGCAAATGCCTTTCACCGCGTCTGGCATGAGGGACTCGTCTTCAAGCTTATCAACTTGGGACTTCCCAGAGAACTCATTCTTCTGATCTTCTCCTTTTTGCAGAACCTCACTTTCTTCGTCGCTCAAGGAAATGAGAAATCCAATTCAAGACTTATAAGATCCAGCGTTCCACAAGGAAGTATTTTCGGTCCAATGCTATATCTTTTCTACATATCAGATTTTCCTCAACCTGGTTTGGACAATTACTCTCTGTTAGCATGTTATGCCGACGATACGGCGATTGCAATTAAATCCATCCAAGCTAATCCTGCAATAGACAAAATGCAAAATTACCTCTATGCCGTAGAAGACTGGTGCACAAAATTGGCGCGTAAAAATCAATGCTAGCAAGTCACAACTTTTAATTCTTAGCAAAACTAAGAAAAACATTGCTTTTAAAGATCTCTACCTTTTTCAGGAAGCTGTTCCTCTGGTCACAAAGGCCAAATACTTCGGAATTATTTTGAACCAAAGGCTCACATGGTCTAACCACATTAATAGTGTCAAGAGCAAAGCCATGGGCATAATATTCAGATTTCTCCCGGTCATTGGAAAATATTCAAATCTTAGCTTGCGTACCAAAAAACATATATATACCACTTGCATTCGACCGATGCTTTGTTATGCTGCTCCTGCTTGGGACACGTTCACTCAAACTCAACTGCATCAATTACAAGTAGTGCAAGACAAATTTCTGCGCATTATTACTGATTCACACTATCTTATAGCAATAAACTTTTACACAGAGACTTAAAACTCGAGACGATTCCAGATTACATCAGAAGATCTAATGAAAAATTCTTCAACAAAGCTGTGCAACATGACTTTGTTAATTACTCCCAAGTCTTTAATTATGAAATTCTCTTCGAAGATAGAAGCGTCAGACCACTTGCAGCTCACACCTTCATGGGAGGAGACGACAACTTTTTCACTTAGTTCCTAAATTGGTAGCTGTTTATACTTCCAATGCATCTGATTTTGATTGAAGTTCTTCTGTAGCTTAAATATTATTCTTGGAGATTGATAAAACTAATGCTGTGAGATTTTAAGCATTGTGATGATATAGTAGTGTTGCAAATAGGTTGCTTAAGTTGTTGTTGAGTTGCTGTAGTTTATTGCGTTGAATAGTTGTATTAAAATTGTATGTTAATAGTTGTATTGTATTGTGCTGTATTTAGCACTATTGATTGAGGTTGTTTAGTTGTATTTGAATTTGTCACTGGAAACATTGCTGTAGAGTATCTTCTCATATTGTTGTCATTGATTTGCATTGTCTTGGGTCCTCCTTGAAAGCTATGATGGCCGCTCGTCACGTTTTGCGAACTTATCCGATTGGATTGTCTTGCTCCTTTTAGTACTTCTCTTCTTCCCCTTTTCTCATCTGAGATTTTCTCCACGTATGGATTTCTTTATGTCAAGTGCCCTTGGGCTTTAATTCTGGAACCGGCAACACTATTGCTCTTCGCAATAGCTTGGTCAATTATAGAGTCTAAGGAAAACTGCTAGCAGAGTTTGAATGAACGAATATGGGTAGTGTGCAGTCGAAACAGAAATTAGTGATAGTCATAATTTTTACAATAGCGAGTATAATGAAAGGTTGATTAAAAATATTCATACCTTCATATAAAGTATGTAAAAGAATTCATTTTTGATTAAAATATAAATTCTAAATACGTTATTTTCTTGTTAAAGAAAACACTGCACTTAGTTGTCAAAACTGGCAAACTTAATCGCCTAATCTTTAACATTAAAGCTACTTTAAATTATATAAATCTTAATTAGTTTTCAACAGCAAAATATATTAAACTAACATTTTCATTTTCCAGGATCCTGCGAAATGTTATGATGAATCCTCTGATTCCATCATCACTTAAAGGACGTTTGAGTAAAGGCTCAATGTTTGGAAAGAAGAATCATGGTCGGTGTATTAACTATTTTTGTGAAGTGATTGATAAGCCAAGTTCATAAAGGAAACATATATATATAGAGAAAAATTGAATTTAGTTGTCATCTCTCTGCAGAATGAAATGAAATGTTTCATTTTTCTCATTTCCCATAATACTGAAGACTACAGTGGTTGCAAAATGCAGTTAATGAGATTTGTAGTTTTATATTAGAGATTCTGAAGATGACGAATCTAATTCAGGAATTATAAACAAAAAAAAAAAAAAAAAAAAAAAAAAAAAAAAAAAAACTGAAATGTTTCAGATTTTAAATTACGTCTAAAGGGGCGTTTTTTAACATTTTGTGTGTTACCTTTCTTTATTAAATATCATGTTCCTCGCACTTAAACCATAAGATCCAGTGCAACAGCAATATCGCAAAATAGTTTTAAAACGAGCATACCTTTAGAATTTCCGATACAGAGACTCACGCGCTGGAGATAAAAATGTTTTTTCTGCACAACGTTGCCATTGCTCGCTTTGAAATCCTTGATTTTGTTTAATAAAAAAATTCGTCAAAGTTTTAAAAAATAGGAAATCGATCATAAAACAAATTTCAAATTTGGTCTTCCACATGCTCATATTCGTTGGAGGATTACGTTATTCAAAATTCGATGACTCTATGTACCGTTATTTTATGACAATGTGAGAAATATACATACATTTACGCAGATTTTCATTATTTAATTTCTTCAAATATAATGCAGGACTCTAACATTTTATGGCAACAGTTTGAAAAGTGAACGGACATTTATGAGTCCGACGCAAAATGCCAAAACGAAATTAATATCTCTTCTGGGCTAACGCCCTTTGGGCTAGTAATAGAATTGAAGCTCATATTTTAATAGATACAGAGTATATGAAAACAATTTTAGAACTAATATACTAAAAAATTTTTAAATGCAAAATAAGGAATTGAAATTTCTTGCAACAGCTTTCTATTTGAAATGAGAAATATCTTCTGCAACTTTTAAATTTATTCATCTTTCAAAATGAAACTAATAGTCCTTCGGGATTCAAATCCCTTTGGACTAAAAAAAGAGGTGGGGGGGTTTGTAAATAAAGATAAATCTAAAAAATATTTATCTTTCAGATATAATTTATATTTTATTGAATATATTACTACTTGGAAATAGTTAATATCAGATGGCATAGTTACCACAACACAATTAGGACAGAAATTTTTTACGGTTCAGAAAATTAAATGGCATCATTTCAGATTTTAATTTTTTGTTATATATATATATCAGAATTGAATAAATTTTCTTTTAGGGTACGATTAAAAAGATTTACTCCCCCCTGATTTATAACAGTAATAATTTTCTCATCAGCTTCATAAGATTTTTGTTAGGCATTGCTTCGCATAAGCAAAATAACCTAGATATACAGGGTGTTTATAAAGTCCCGAACCCATTTCGATGTTTAATAACTCATAAAATAATAAAGATAGATTAAAATAAATAACATAAATAGTTAGATAGAGTCAAAAAGTTTGATGACCCTTGTCAACCAACTTCCACGTGTGCCTTCTTCGTCGCACGGAGAATATCAAGTCGATATTCAATTTCACGCCAGGTACCGGCAAGCATGTTGGCATCCGCAGATACATTTCGGTATATTAAACCTTTGGGGAATTCCTTTGTTCCTCACGGTATTCATGGGGATTTTCAGATCCCCATATGCGCACATTATGGCGATTAACAATGCCAGAAAGATGGAAGGATGCTTCGTCGGAGAACATTATGAGCTTCAGAAATTCAGCATCATCTTCAATCCTCCTTAGCATATCTGTTGCAAAGGCCATCCTCCTAGGACTAGGCCTATCGTCCGGTTCCAAAACTTGAATTTGAACTTTGTATGCATGCAGTCTTAATTTTTTCTTAAAACCTTGTACACCGTCGAAATTGGCATATCCAATTCTCTTACCGCTCATCTCATAGATCTTCCAGGATTGTGTAAAAATGTCTCTCGGACACGCTCAACATCAAAATCACTTGTGCAGGGACATCTGGAACGTTTTTTATCTGCGATACTTTCTAGAAAATTCTTTTTTCCACCGCAAGATGCTGCTTTTGGATGGAGGATCTTTTTGGTAAATTCTTCTGCAATTTCTCTGTGTTTGCATTATGGATTTCGTTTTTATGAACCACCATAAAATCTGTGCTTTCTCTTGTGATGTATGCATTCTCCTTAATATCCGGTCGAATAAAACATCACATACAAAAATACTAGAACAAACACATCAAAAGTAAACATAACATTGCAATAGTTGCCAAAAACAAAAAAGAGCAAAATGCAATTAATAAGCAGACGATATTTAGACAGGAAAATGAAATTATCAGAAATTAACCACACGCGCAAACGATATTTACAAAAGTAAAGATATTCAAACCTGAAAAGGAAAATATATAAGTTATTCCACCAATAAATGCCATAAGTTTGTTTACATCTTCATTATTTTATGAGTTATTAAACATCAAAATGGGTCCGGGACTTTATAAACACCCTGTAGTTTTCTTTATGTAGATTTTTCAGTTTAATTTGATCAATAAACCGAGTAGTAGTTTTGATAATAATTACTGAATAATAATCAACTGAGTAGTAATAATTTCAAAATCTTATGGATAAATCGCATCTTTGTAAATGCGAGTTAAAGACAAACATATATCCGATGATGATGATCTATCTTTTTCACAATGCTGTTATCAAAAAAGGAACCTCTTTCAGGTTGAACACACCCATGAGAGATCAAATTTTACGTTGTTAGGAGCAGCAAAAATTAAAATTTAGGAATATTCAAGAATCACAATTAGAGAAGCTGTTAATACATTTTTAGAACAATTTAAGTGTAGGAAAAAATAATGTGGAATAAACACTTCTGGTAGTGCTGTATGATTTGAAATGAAAAATAATACGTGTTACTTTGAGATATATTTTTCTTTCAAAATGACCTATGTAAATAAGCTATAGATCGAAGAACATGTCATTTATTTTCCCCAAAAAAGAAACATTCATATTCGAAAATGTTGTAAAATGCATGGCATTAAAAATTTTAGTTTGAAATAAAGCAACATTTACTACAGCAACAATGCCGGATCAGATTAAAACTGAATAGCATAACAAAAGGATTCCCTCCCCCCATTCTTGAATGTATCAAAGAATGAAAAAAATTGCACATATCACCTTTGCAAGTACATTTAACCTGCGGAACACATTTATACATAAATTTATTCCTGTATAATTTCATCTCATTTCCTTTTGTTTTGAAATCATCAAATTGAATTTCACAAATGTATTTAATGTTTCAATTGCCTTCAGTCAACTAATCTTGGTTGAATGGTCATGTCTTCTGCTATCTGTGGATTTAACACACTTTGATTTATGATGCAGTTACGTGGCTCTCCCTCAAATGGTTCAATTTTATCACTTTCAATAACTCCATCTCCTAAAAGTGTGATTAATGAACTGTTTGAAAAAAGACTAACTGAATTGTTTTTAATAAATCAACAGTTGGTCACTAGATAAATATTTTTGCTTTCTTCAACAGAATTATGCCATCAGTCAAGCATTTTTGTAACACTGGGCTATTGTGCACTTGTTCTCCAGCAATAGTAACTGTAATAATTACATATCTCGCATTGAATTAAATGAATTGAATACAGAAATCTTTGAAGCTAAAATCAGAATCTAATAAATTTTGGTCAAACAAATTCCTACATGTACATAAAATTCAGAAAATCCACTTGATACAAAGAATGAATCAGGGCTGTTATACAGTGGCGTAGCAAGGGTGGACATCTGTCCCCACCCACAGCATCCAGGCGGCGCCCTATTGATGCTAGGAAAGTTTTTAAGGAAATGTTTTCCATTCTTGGCACACAAAAAGGAGCGCAAATTCTTCAGTTGTCCCCGGAAGCTGGAATCCTAGCTACGCCTTCATTATTAATACTTGAACAACAAAACGATGACTTATTTCTTCATCACTTCGGGCATCGGGATTATATTTATATGCAATGTCTTTATCAGCAGATTTTAGTTAGCCTGCAATGTCTAATTTACAGATATCCTGCCTTATTTTAAGGTTTCAAAGTTATCCATCTGAAAATGTCTTTAGACAACTTCTTCGGATATGTTTACTGTTTAAATAACAAACTATCCAAACAGTTAAGCTTAAAGCCACATTAGTTAATCACAGAAAGGGAATTATTCGCCTTTTGCTTACTTCACAGTTTAAAATTGGCAATTACACAATTACTGCATAGCTTAAAATTGGCTAAAATTATTACAAATATAACGTAATTTAAAAATTTTAATTATATACTTACATATTTTCCTTGACCCTTCAACAAACAAAAACAATTGTAAAAACAGGATTCAATCAAATACCAATAATGGATAAATGTGATGTTGCAATGCACTACTAAGATTTTTCATTTTATGCAATTCAAATTATCAAGTTTTGTTGATGGAAATAAATTAATTTTTATTTCTTTACTTTTCTAGTGTATTTTAAAAAAGAATTAAAACATATGACCTGCTTTCTTCAAAACAACTAAAAATAACTCAAAATTATGGGATCTACTATTAAAAAAAAGTTATGCATTAATAGACACCATATGGGACTTCATTTGAAAATGAAAACATAGTACACAATGTGAAAAATTCTGGCAATGAATATTCATTCGAAAAGAACCATGGTTCCAGAACTCTAAAATTACATTTGTGACTGCATTCAGGTTCATATACAACTGGCCGAGAGAATTAATGTGCATTGAGCAGGGAAAAGAACATTTCAGGGTTCGTACACATTTCTGCACACTGAAATTAAGTACTTTTAAGGACCATTAATGAAAAAATTAAGGACCTGTGAGCAAATGGGAATTGAATAAATTCAATTAAAAATATTATCTATGCCTGACTTTCACTTTTGTAATACCATCCTAAAAGTAAAATTGATCCCCAAGTAGTGCACATTATTACTAAACATGAATTAATGAACATAATTATTAATAAGTTTGAGAATAAAATAAGCTTTATGCAATTTATCCAGTAGCCTTAAATATTTTACACTTATAATAGTTGGTCATATTTGAAAGAAGATACGTAACATTTACGTTTTACTAACAGTTAGCTTTATGATGATGTTTTTTTTTTTTCTTTTTTTTTTTTTTTGTCTCATTTTGTCGCATACTTTGTCAGTCTAGAGGTTTAGTAAATAGCAGGTAGATTTTATGTTAAACAACATAGGTTAAAATGAGAAGTAAGATCATAATCAGCATGATTCATAACAAAAGACTGAATGTCACCGCTACTGCTTGTCTAGAGACAGACCTGTCTCTAGACAAGTTTGTTTTGTATAAATGTTTGTAATAATGTTTTATAATAACAACACTCAACAAAATATTTATCCGTTATTTTAATTTGAAGGCTTTCCAGGCATTTTGGCTAGTTTATATAGATTTCCTTCTCTTAAAGCATCTTTTCTAACAATTAGAAATTTGTCTCAATATGCAAACCACTGTTCTCACTAGCTTCTGCGTGCTTTATCTGCTAACTTGTCAACCTCTCTACAATGTACCTATGAGGGTATACTTGATCTGTTAAAAGTTTAATAGTCCAAAACCCCCGATAGATGTGAAGCAAATTATCACTTTGTCTGACAGTAACTACAATATGAGACAAAGGTTTAAATAAGCCTCTTATTTAAAAAGAACTTAGAACAAACTTTAAGGCATGTTCTAATGCTAACGAAGTCAATTACATCTCACGATGACGTAATTAAACAAGAACAGTCACAAACTAAAAATGTAGACTAGTGGTCAAAGATTATGCAATTTAATTAAAATTTAATTTGGCTCAGTAACTCTATCATATGAGGAAATAGAATTGGGAAATTATAGTAAAGGCTGCAATCATGAACAATTGGGTATACATAATAATTGCACATATTTTTTTAAGAATAATTTTCTTCATGTACTCAATTTCTTTCTTGAACACGTTTCCTTTTCATTTTAGAATTTTTGGATTTAATTAAGGATTTCTGTTATTCTAAAAAAACACTAAATGCATTTAGAATGTACAGAAAAAGTGGCTAATTTTATATCTTTAATAATATGAAATATATATGGTAAAGGACGGTTACAGAGCTGATGCGGCAGAATTTTTAGAATTTAGTAACATGCCAAACAACAAAATCTAGAAATGGCAAAATTTTAAGAATTTAGAGCAGGCATTAGAAGCAGAATTTAGAAAGGCACTAGGCAGCAGAATTTGAGATCCACAGACATTGCATCAGGTGGGAAAATGCCTAGTGCCAGCTATGTGCATGATGCATTAAGACGTATTAGATGAATATTTTACATTAAGTTTTCAATTTCTTTATTAATAAAAAAAATCCCTTTCTATAATGCCTGCCTCTGTGATAAGATTAGAAGCATTTTTAATATCTTCCATGCTTGTGTCTAGTGAAATTAGAGAAAATAAAGGGAAGATAAACATGTTAAGATTCTAGTATCAGAAGTAAAACATTCAAATATTATGTTTCCATTGTTCTCCAAAAAGTAAGAAATTCATTGGAAACTTTCTGTAAAATACATCCATTATGTGTTGATATTATGGAAACATATCTTGCCTTGAAATCATTTTAAACTTTCCAAGCTGCAATGTCTGAAATTCTAAAGAAAAATTATCCCAACTAATTCTGTAACAGCAAAAAGCCAGAAATATTTTGGGGAAAAAGGTGTAAAATTAATTTTATAGAGAAAACTGATGCATATTCTCAGAATTTTGAATATTCTGAGACAATTACATAGGAAAACTCTTACTATGAAAAACTAAAAAGAAGACATTTTTCATTAATTACATAGCTAATTTTGTTTTTGCTAAGAGTTATTTCGTAAATTGTGCTTTATAGCATTATACCTTGTTAATTTTTCAGACTCAAAATATTGTATAATAAGTAGCCAAAATGAAACTTTATAATATGACAACGAAAAATAAAAATGTTTTATTTTAATGAAATTAATCAATGTTACAATGTTTTAAAAAAATCGTCGAAAAAGTCTCAGATCTCAGAATTAAAAAGTTTCTATGGAAACTGATCTTAAAATCGCCAAATTTAGAATCGTTTAATAAAAGAATTCACAACCCCAAAAGCAAAAAGTTGTCTAAGCGCTCTTTATTAGAAAAAATGAATTTCGAAATGCTTATGTTTCACTTCTTGGTTAGAAATACGAGTATCCCATCATTTATACTAGAAATAGAAACAAATTATAACTCATGAACCCATTCAAAAGATAAACATATATACATCAGTGAATTGCCCAAAATATTGCTCCAAAATACTAATTCACACTCAAAATAGCAGTCATAAAAACAAACAAATTTCAGATGATTAAAATTAAGGACCTTCTGCTGATTTTGACCAAAATTATGGACTTTTAAGGACCAAAAAATCTAAGTACCCTTAAGGCCCGACAAGGCAGTAACTGACTGGAATAATTAGAAAGATTTAGATCACATAACCTTTTAAAACAGAGTTTCGGCTAAAATCAAAAGACCTAACCAAAGTATGCAAAAGCCTTTTTACAAACCATACAAACCAGGTTAAATACATTTATAGCCAATGAATATTTGATGGATTGAGATAGAAGAGCTGCTACTTTAAAAGATAAATAAAAGAACATACAGAAGATGGATTTACAATGGTTTCAGGTTTTTGGCAGGTCTACAAAACTAATTAATCCCAGCTGCAAAATGTGAAATGTCTTAATCACTTATACAATTTTGTAAATGTTGAAAACTAGTAAGCATACTCAAAAAACATAAAGACCAAAATATAATAAAAAACAGCATGGAACCATTTAAATTCATATTTATAACAAAGACAACTATTTTGTTGCTATTTTAAATGCTATTAAGGTTTTTTAACTGTTGAATGATGTTTTAATGCATCAGATAAATAAAAATGAATTCAAGGCATTAAGTTTTTAAAGTTTTTTCATATGTTATATCAATTAGCAGCTGCTCAGCCAGATAGTGGTTAGTGATGCTGTACTGATGGGCCCAGATTCAGATCCTGAAGAAGCCATGGGTATTTGTAAGCATACAGTTGTCTAGCATGGCAGTCACAATATGCAGCAAACCAGAATTCCTCTTGAGAGCTTAGTGGTATGGAAAGAGGATGGTAAAAGTGTTGCATCAATCCCATGGAGTATTCTCCCTCAGAACTGGGACAGAAGCTTAACAGATACCAAGCCCAGGCAATACTTAATGTATACCTACAGGAATGCACAGGTGCTGGCCTTGCTTCGACCTATACCTGTATCAGCTAGCATATGTTGACTGTACAACTAAATAAAAAGCGAGCAGTGAGTACCAAACTGAATAAAGAGCCATCCATTCTTTCAAAATTCCACCAGAATGATTAGCACAATCTGGCAGAATCAATGCTATTTTTCATGGTGCATGAAAAATACATCATAAATTGTTAAAAACCCCAGGCCCAGTTTTTTTTTTTTTTTTTTCTTTTGCAAAACATATTGCAATAAAACTATGTTTTGTCACTACAACCAAAAGACTACAGTTGGGCATGCTTGACATATACTGTGAATGTTAATTATGTATGTTCCAGCAACATCATCACCATACATCTTTAATAAGCACATCCCTTCATTCTTCAATCACAGAAGTTGTCTTACAGATCTATGGTAAACATTCAGGCTCATATGCACATCTTACAGAATTAATGAGTAGGTAATGTATAATAAATCATCGAAAAAAGGATTTGCAACAATTCTTCAATTAAGTACTTAAAAATAAATATATCGAAGCTCCTAACAGATGAAAAAATATTTCTGGTCAAGATTTTATACAATATTTGTAACATCATTACCAACAGGAATCCTCAAGTAATTTTTTTTTTTTTTTTTTTTTTTTTAAAGAAAGGTCCAATTTTAACATTGCTCAAAAGGGTATTTTAGTGGGATAAACAGCCAAAGGAACTCCTTAACTGCCTCCTGTCCAGTATGACTGATGCTGTGCGACCTGTCTGGCTGCAAGAGGAGACCATACTCTGTATCAAACTGATTTTCAGTTCAATATCTTTGGACACCCTTGCATTATGAATTTTACTTATAATCATGTCTACACAAAAAAATGGCTCTTGAATGGTACATCTTTTCTTCTGTTATAAATGTATATTCACATCAAATTCATTAGAATCTGCCCATTAAGTTTTGCACACATGTGTGTATACATATTAAAAAATAATAATTTTTTTTTTTTTTTTTTTGTTTGTTTAATGAAGTTGCCATGCTTGGCTATTTACCACATCTTTTGGTTCAAATGATCATAAAATTATGTTTTGCTGAAGAGATAGATAAAGCTTTCAATCCTTTAATGCCAATCAACAGAAAAAAAAAAAAAAAAAAAAAAAAAAAAAAATCAAGTTTCTAAATGAAAAAAAATAACTCATTTTTAAATAAAAGAATATTAATTTAAATCACACTTGTGACAAATTTTGTTTTAAATATAACTGTTGTTTCTAATGCATTTTTCAATACTTATTTTAAGATAATGCAATAAGCACACTCGTATACGAAATTCCTTCTCCTTCCATGAAGAAATTTTATGAAAACGTGCACACTAAAATGCATAAGTGCCTAACTACACTAAAAAATTCTGAATTTTTCTAAATGTTTTGATAAGAACTTACTAGAACATAGGTTAATGATAGTAAGTAAAAAATTAAATGTACTTCAACAACAATAAATGACAAAGCTTAGTTCTAAAAAAATGGCACTTTTATTTTTCAAGACTGTGCACAGTGGGTAATTAAAACTTGGGCACGTAATTACCCAAACTGTGATTGTTTAAACTAGCTGAAACTCTAGAGTACCCAAGATGTCTGGCACTAAGACTCAATAGCATGTGGACAATAACAGAAACGCTGCCCACTGCCAATACCTTATTCAGTTGTATTGAACTAGAATAAAACTTCCAGTATCAGAGACCATTACACCTTATAACATTTTATAGCAATGGCAATAAGCCAAACCTATCCTAAGAACATATACATAAATGTCACAGAGAAGTATGGAAATAATTTAATTGTTAAGTACCAAAATAAATACTCTTTACATCTTTCTTTACTCTTACTTAAATACATCTTCATTATATAAAAATGTAGACTTATTTTCATGCTGTGAGAATTACACATATTATATAGTTTCTAATAAATTTAAAAATATGTAAAAACCAAGTATTTAAGAATTAAAAAATTAATATTCCCAATTAATGATAATTACATAGTTTGAAGAACATAGTTAAATGATTTTATTGTTATGCTAATGATGTTTGCATGGAATTACTCTTCATATGCTGAGCAATTAAAAAATAATAAACCTGGTCGTTGTCTCTGATACATAGAAGATTTCTAGCAATAGGCAATACACAATGATCTATACGATAAAACACTGTAAAAAGACATTACAAAAATATCATAAAATAAGCATTTAACATTGCAGATCATGTTTTACTGTTTATGCATGACATAATAGTGGAAAAAAATGCACATTTTTTTTTAAATCCAAGTTCATTATGTACAGGCTAGACATTATCGAATTACCTCGAACTAAACATATTAAAAATATATATAAGATAAATGCAAATAATGCTCACTATAGATGAAATATTTAATATAAAAGTTTCCAGAATATGTATTCTAGCATAAATTTTCAAGAAGTTATGATATATTCAAATTTTTTACATTAAATAATACTTTTAAGAAATTCAGAATTTAGTGATAAAAGAAACGCAGTATCTTAGATTTGAACAGTGCTGCACAATTACGATTTAAAAAAGTCATTAATATTAAAAATAATGCTTATCAATTCTAAATGCAATTTTACATACTTTTTAATATGAAGAAAAATTTTCCTACAGAATCAGACATAAAAAAAAAAAAAAAAAAAAAAAAAAAAAAAAAAAAACCAAAAATATACAGGTAAATGAAAAACCATTTCCAAATAAATACTGTACATACAGCTAAGACTTATTCCCTAAAGAAAACAGCTATTTGCATCAAGATTGCATGCATCATTTCCCATATCAGTTACTTTTACAGGATATGAAGATAAACCCCACATAAAAAGTAATAAAAATACATACGGAATTTCAGGAAAATTTTAATGTAATACTGACTTTTCTTATTCTCATAAAAAAGAACCAAGGATAAAAAAATTACATATTACTGTGCCATACCGTTTTTATATATCTTTGCATCACAGTTATTCTTCTTGGTGCAGAGAGAATATTCAGTAAAGAAAAGTTCAACTTAATGCCAAAGAATATCAAATGGCACATTAAAAAAATTCACTCTTGTGAATTGAAATTAGATGTGTCAATTAAAAAAGAAGCAAAAGCATTCAGCATCAAATATAAGGCAAGATTCAATTACAGAGGCATCATAAAAAAGTGTTTTAATGAGCACTATACAATATGTTTAGTAATGATATTTCTTTTCTGGTTATTTGAGCATTAATACTTCTACTATAACACATTTCTGAATACTAAACACAGACCCTTATTTTACTTACTTAAAAATTTCAAAATTTAAATAATGGTCAGAATTAGCAATGCTTTTACATCATTCAAGGTTTTTAGAGAGATTTTATTATATTCCAAATTTATTTTTGAAATTCACTATCAAATTAAAAAAAATAGTGTGTATGAGTGACTGTCTTTATATACACATAAATACAATCAGCTCTGCAGCATTAAAGATATATCACACTGAAGAGTATATTAGATGGTATTAACCCTCACTTTTAAAGAAAGAAGAGTTTTCTCCTTCAACTTAAAATACAAAAAGAAAACTACACATAAAATATAGTTTCCTGTATGGTAACAGTATTTTAATAAAGCTGCATTTGTAGACTGCTGTGTAACATAAAACTGAACTATGAGGTCTTAATATCTCTTAAATGACAACAGTATTGTATCAAAATGTCACTAAGCATAGGCTTTGGCACATTCACCAGGGCTGTGATACATATTGTACTGACTGGAGTTTTTGGTTGCTCTTGTTTATATTCAAGTTTTATTATTAAATAGATCAATTTTATATTTGTACTATCTATTTCTGGAAAGTTCTTAATATTGAAGTAAAATTATATTTGACAAGATTGCACTTTAAATATAAAAAATGTGTCTCCCCTACAAAATAAGATAAGGAGTTTTAAAATAAAATGTGTACTCCAATCATTATACTTTAAAATTATGTTAATGAATAAAAGGCCAAATTAGTAAACAAGACTGGTACTAGATATTTTGTTGCCTAGTGTTATCTCTACCACTTTTAAAATCTTCTCTAGCTGTTTCCTAACTTTTACTGCCCAGTACAATCACAACAGTAACACATGCTCTGTTAGTTAATGATATATCTCACTAAAATTAATAATGCACTTGAATAAATAAAAAATGAAGCTTTAATATTAGTTTGCCACTAAATGGTAGACAACAGTCTTATCTTCAAAATATAGTTTTAGGACCTGCTATAGGGCTGGGCCTGTTAATTAATAGTAAGTCACTAAAATTGGTAACAGATTTAAATAATTAAGAAGCAAAGTTTGAATATCATAAAATTTAGTTTCTCACTGTTCGGTATACTTCTTGGCTTCTTCAAGACATAACTTTTAGACCATCTAAATAGAAACCACAACTTCACTATTAGGCGAGTGCTTGAAATATTCTTGGAAAACATTTACATGCATAATAATTTTTGCAATATGAAAAAATAGTCTAATTTTTAAACCTTGCTATTCACTTGATTTCAAGAAATTTACAAATAGAATAAAATATTTCACTGGAAAACCATTTTTTTATCAATGCCTCTGTTACATATATGAAATTACTGCAAAAATAGACTAAATAAAATATACAAAGTAAATATTTGTATAATTTCCTTTCATGCTTTTTTTTAAGCACTGAGGTATGTATGAACTGTCCATATCTTGCATCTACATAAATGTCTGAAATATTTCTCACTGTTGCTGACATTCATTGCATTTTTAGCAACATAAAAATCACTTTACAAGAGTTCATCTTCATGTTTGAATTTTCTCACTGATGGCACACTGAATTTTTATTTCACATATATATATATATATATTTAAGTATTCTTTGGTTTTTCTTTTAAAAATGTCGGACTTTCAAGTAATGCCTGTAATTGGAAATCCAAATACAAAAGCTTTAAATTTCAAGGCTGGGACACAGGAAGAGTGTGTTGAGTTACCTGAAAAAAAAAAAAAAAAAAAAATATATATATATATATATATATATATAATTTATTTCCTAAACAGTACTGATTAATTGATTATATTATCTCCTAAGTTTAATTAAAGTAGAATTATTTTAAAAGTGTGAATCCATACTGGTAAGTTATATTTTGAAAGATGTTTTGAAGTAATTTGAAAGCAAAATGTTAATAATGTTTTAACGGGGACTGGAGTTAAATCATCATGAAGAATAAAATATCAATTGCAAAAGGAAAAATTAAAAACATGTAATCATTGTCATTGATCGGAAATTAGTTGACTTTTCAAGGGGAACAAACTAACTCCCGTTCAATGAACAATAATTGATAAAAATACGTAAATATAAAAGTGTTTCGTCTTTACTCAAGTTATAAGTTAAAGCCAAACCGGCAATTCTAGTCAGGCCAAATATTTCCACGAATAGAAGGAATTATGAACCAATGCTGATACTCAAAGAACTTATTCTTATGAAGCATTTTAGTCAATTCAATTTGGAGTAAAAATCAATTACTGTAGAGAAATCCTAATTAACCCGAGTAACCGTCCCTGACACTTTCACGTTTATGCATTTGAGTACTATATTATTTGTAAAAATTAAACATTGGAAATTGTCATTATGAAATCGAATTCAAAGTAAAGTTGAAATAAACATAGAAGATTACAAAATAAGATAAATAATGCAAACTTTGTAAAAACAAATCAAAGACAATATAAAAATAATATAAATAAGATCAGTGAATGTACATGAAGATATAAAGGCCAGAAAAGGTATTAAGTAACTTACATTCTTTCTAGTGGGGGGAGTTGGCAAAGTGTTCTCTTCGTGTCTGACTCATAAGTGTAAGGTGTCCAAAATTCTTAGCGGCAGTGGGGGCTTTGAATAATATCAGTCGGTAAGACTTGGTGAAGTAATTTATGGTATGGTGGACTTGGAATTCTTGAGGGATTATTATGTGGAGTTCTTATCTGAGTGAGACTGTCTGTTATATATATATTTAGTTAAATAAAAAAAAATTCCAAAAAAAAAAAAAAAAAAAACTTGTGCATAAAGATTTTAATTTACTGAAATTTTTGATACTTTGGTATTCTGTTTATGGAATGCTTTTAGTATACAGCAAATTTTAAATGACAGACTATCAATTTATGTAGATATCATTCATAAGTCATTCTTTTTGCCAAAGATAATATAGGTCAGTTTCCTGAAAATATTCTTTATAATGGTATCCCATCTCACAGGCAGATAGTTTTATTATATTTTATCATAAATAATCAAATACCATAACTCTTCAAAAAATTTAGCCCATCATATTTTAATGCAAAACAGTGAGATCCATTTACTAGTAAATAATACAACAAGAAGGGGGGGGAGAAAGGAAGAAGATTGGACATGATCAGCTTTCAGATTCTCCATCATCAATTTGTTTTTATGATGATTTGGTGTAGCAAGAATTCACAGTACATAATTCAGGAAAATACATACAGTAAAACCTTGCTTATATGGCAATAAAAATATATATACATTTCTGCTCATTATACCAATCCTTTGCATCCCAGAGAAAAAGAAATATATTAAAATTGAATTTGAGATAATTTTATGAGCTGGAGACTTCTTGCACCAATTCTTGTAATGGAAAAGTTGTTATACACAATAATCATTACAATCAGTTGCATTGGCACTATTAATCTTTCAAAAAGAGAAGAGTATCTTATTCTTTAAAAAATATGAGACATGAGTTCTCTTCTAGTAAGATTGCTAAGCACGAAAATATAATGCTTATGTCTTATGAAGAAGAAAAAATAAGAATGTCCTACTCAAGAGCACCATGCACCCAACATTGCAAATCACATCTGACGAAAAAAAGGCATCGGAAGTTGTGAATTTTTACAATTCGACCAAATATGGACTTCATGTTTTGGATCAGATAACCAGAAAATATTCAGTGCAGTTCTCATCCAGACATTGGCCAGTTCCAAGTTTTTTGTAATGTTCTTGTTTTGGTCATGATAAATGCATGGATAATTTACAAGGAAACAACTTAATATAAGAATATTACCGGTCATGATTTTATTTTAAGTACGGGTGAGGAGCTTTGAAAGATGTACATTTCATCCAAAATTCACAACTTCCTGTATCTGACAATATGCAAGTACTAATATGTGTAATCTTCAACACATTTATTTCACTCCTGAAAATTTTATGAGTTAATTTATTAAATGATAAGAAGCTTAAAATTACCTAGAGTGATTTCCCCCCTTCTTTTAGCTCTCTGTTATATTAAATTATCCTTGAATTAATATATTTACTTAATTTTGCTCTTTGTTACAATTAAATTATCTTTTCGTTGCATCTATTTACTCAATTTACTTATTAAACAAGCCAAATGTATCGTTGTAAGCATTAACTTTACGTAACATTAGCAAAATGTGAGCGTTTTCTTCTATTCGGAGCAAGCGGTCAAAATGACCGCTGATAATACTTACAGGCATACGGAAAACGCCATAATGCTAGTGTTAATTAGTGTTACATTTTGTCATTAATAAATCCTGTTGTGTTGTTTGGAAGAACATTCTTACGCAATTGGTCACACTGAATCATCAGATGGAATAATATTCAAGTATTCAGCATCATATTATGAAAAATAAAACTCCAGTATTCAGTGGTTTTAACCATCAAACCCCACATAGCCTTGTGCTATCATCATGGGTTTAAGTACTTAAATTGAAGGATGCATAAGCTGCAATGAAATACAACTCTACTTAAACTTGACAAGAAAAATACTGAGTAATCAAGTCACATATGTTTGCAGGATTAGTTTGAATAATAAGTGAAATACAGTCAATGCTATACATCTAATGTAAAAGCCTCTTAAACTTTCAATATGCAAGAATTACCTTGGCAGAGTTACTAAAGCAACGAAAGTGAAATATGTATATAACTTGATAAAAGACAAAAATGGCAAGTATGACTTAATTACTAACAAATTTATGTCATGGATTTTTCAACTAAATTTTTAGTCACATCACCTGAAAACCTTTCTGCCTTAAACAAAAAATAAAGCAAATGAACATTTTTCAAGTCACTGGAGGTAAATGGAAAACTCAAAATTACAACAAAACTCTGTGCTACTGTCTGGTAATCATTATGAGTGTGCATAAAGAACTTAAAATTTTATTACTGGTTGTGCTGGATGGTGAGCCATCATCTGTGGGAAAGGATCTAGTAGATGAGTCATTCCTGCAGGACCATGAGCCTTTGGCATTTCCTCATTCTTTTCATCTTCCCTTCTTTTAAGGCAGGCAACTTTTGGATTTAAATTTCTCTCTGGATTGAAAATCACATATAGTATATAAATATTAAATAATTTTTTTATTGCTATCAGTAATACTTTTTTTTTCTTAAACTCTTAATTAAATGCTATCTGATGACATACATACATTTCAATTTTTACAGTAAATGAAAATGATTTAAAAATTTCCAGGAAAACATCAGTTACAAACATGAGTCATGTTTTTATGAATGGATGCCAGAATTAATTTCTATAACTTAGTAGAAAAAATCTTTTAAAGAACAATACAGTACAAAGTCAAAATCTGGTCATCCGATATCTGGAACGTTCTAAAATCAGAGCCTCTGGACACACAGCAACCCTTTTTCCTTTTCTATGCTTTACTCGCGTGGATTTGATTATTCCACGATAAAGGACGTGGAGAGTTCTAACTCTTAATTTAACTTCAGTAATAAATAAAATACTCCCATATTTAAAAACAATCAACTACTACCATAAATTTCTATGATAATTAATTTGGCTCTATGGCGAGCTTTTTACTTAGCATACATCTCAAACCAAAACATCATTGATTTTACTCCTACTGAGTAAATTATATCCCTGACCCTATATTACTGCTTTGTGGTGAAGAAAGCAATAATATCCCCATATTTTTGTTCCCCCCCATATGACTATCATTACACAGCAGCTTCAAAAATGTGTGGTAGAGCATTGTTGAAAAACATTCTCTTTTTTAATTAGTAATTGAATGCCAAAGAGACCTTTAATGTTGACATTATACTTGGCAATGATTACAGACCTCAACTAACTATGCTAATGAGTGCGTTGATGAGAAGAAATTTCTTTCTATACATGGAAAACAGAGTAATGTAATTTGTAAATGATACTCATAAGATCAAAGAATTACATTTAGAACTTTAGAGAATAACTGATTTGTTAGTCAGAGAAGCCCAGGACCAGCACCAGAGTTGGTGTGGCCTCAGCTGGTGACAGAAGTTTTAGAATTTTGAAAGCTCTGAGCAACAAAATTAAGAGATAGCAAAATCCTTATTAAGAACCCGCAGAGATAACACTGAGCTGCAAAATGTCTAACATTGGCCCTGGATAAGCCTTAAGTATATGTGGGAATTAGTTAATTCGAGACTCGGATAAGTGTGTGGAAACTAGACGAAAGTATAATAAATAGTTAAACTAATAAAATCAGGCTTAATTTTGGCAGCATGCAATAAAATCAAGAAAAATTTAGTGAAATCACCTCCAACAATGTATACTGGAAGTTAGTTAAGTTGGATTGTACAGAAATGTCCAACACTACGGCTCTCACACTATTACACTATGCGACAGGGAAAACAAGTGAAATAGACACAAGGGGGCATGAGCTACTCAGAATGCATACATGGCGCTGGTCGCAAGCTGAGCGGTATAAACCAGCATCCGTCCCTTTCGCCGTCCTCATCGAGAGCGTAGAAAGTAATGCTGTTATCACATCTATACACGCGCGCGCTTACCCGGGACAATTCCGAGAAACGAGATTCTAGTAGCACGGCTTTAAGCGGCAGGCTTCCGAGAAATGTTTCGTCTAGCTAGGAGGAATGTGTCCCGGCTACGAGCAACATTTTAAAACTTTTCCCAAAATGTTCCGGCCAGACGTGTTCCTCGAACGTTCAACCAATCAGACGAAAGGGCAGCTTCTGAAGGATCACGGGTAACTTTCAATATGGCGATGGCTCTCACTGTGAAGTGATGGACGGTGGAAATAGAGGCCGATTTAATTATTGCTGTTTTGTTGTAATACAACTGCCTGAGTCATTTTTTAAAATGTGTTATATATTCATTAAATATATAATCGTGGAAATTTCAGAGTTGACAGTATTTTACGACGTTCTTGCAGTTTCGGATTTGTTTACAAATTGTTCGTAGCCAAAAGTTCGCCAAATTTGTCGTATTTCGTGCTGATCGTGTATTATAACACTGTTATATATAGAATTTTATTTCTTAAATTTAAGTTGAATAATTTTTTAAAATCCGTTTGTATATGCGCGGCTTTCTCCTAATTACTTATCTTTTAAATTGTTAACTGCATAATCAGTGACACATTTTAAACAGCATAAAAGATGCATAAAAAGAAAAGCATAGCTTATGTAATAATGAGAATACTCATTAAATTTGTCTATTATTTTCATGTTATTAATGAAATACTTTTTGGATTATAATACATTAGAAACTATACTTTTATTGTAAATGCTACATATTTTTGGATTTATTTATGCATGATGAAAAAACATTTGTATATACATTCATTAATATAAATCTTATTCATTACATTAATACTACTAATAAATATATTAACAACTTCTAAAACATCGCATCTCTCTATCTGTATGTAAATATATGACTTATTAGATGTGTATATATAGATGTATGTATGAATACAAAATGAACATTGCCAAGACGTTTATTTGAAGTTACTTTTAATTCAGATAACGATTATGTAATTGGCAGCAACTATAGTTATCAGTTCTTTGCAAATTATTATGGGTATGTAATAATCAGTTGAAAAATAATTGATGAGTATTTGAGTACTAAAGAGTGTACACACATTTTGTTATTGGGTTAATTCATAATTATATCATACGTATGATCTACGTAATAAAAACATGACTAATAAATAATAAATGTAACAGCTGTGCATTTATAACATTGATTGATTACTTAAAACAGCGCACAACTGATTATCACCTTCATGTCTGTTTACATAATGAATTGCACTTTCCAATTAAGTGCACGGGCCTACTAGTGGCCGAAGCGTCGTTGAACACTGGTAGTTCTGTCTCAGGTTAGAATGCCGCGAACGGGCTGGCTACATGACGTTTCCTTGGTTTGCCCCATTTGTAACTGGTATACGAGCCAGTTTTAAAAAATCTTCTACAAAGGGATCCCTCCTGTTGTTATCCCTCGAGGCTTTGCGGTAATCACATAAAACCAACTGAGCCCACCAGCGGCAGAGCGGTAAAGTGGCTGAACACTGGTAGTTCGGTCCGAGGTTCGAATCCCGCGAACGGGCTGGCTGCATGGACGCTTTCGTGGTTTTCCCCATGTGTAACGTGTATACGAGCCAGTTTCCCTTAGAAAGTCCTCCCTGAAGGCATCCCTTCCCTTAGGCAGATAGCCCTAGTGTGCTTTGCTGTAATCTCAATAAACCAAACCATAAAACAAATTCATGATGTGAACACCTAATTTCTAGAGTTGGTATAATTAATGTGTTTTAGGTATATTACCGAGTGTTCTATGGGACAGTAAACAACTCGCACATGTTTGATTGCTCATGTATTCATATGCTTTATTTGATCTTCATTTTGCTGAATAGTATCTGCTGGCTGTGAGGAGGTAAATATCAGCTATATAGATTTTTGTCATGTGAATGGACAGAACAGTAATTATGAGCCATAAAGTTAGTCAGAAAATGCTTTCACCAGGTACAAATCTTCCAGTGAGCCATCAAATTTTCATTGAAATGCAGACAACAGAAAATACACATAAGCGATGTGTGATAAATAGACTTATCCAGCACATGTTTTTAAACTATTCTTAGGCGTATACAGAATTTGGCTATTACTGATGTAATTGATTTCTATAAACAGAAGTGTGTTTATCTGTTACATGAAGTGCTAGAGTGGAGATCAAAGTGATTAACTTGATAGCAATCACCTTTCTATTATCTTCCATTACTAACAATAAAGTTTAAAACGAAAAGCGTGTGAGCGATACAAAACAACACGAAGAAGCGAATGTCACTTGAAAGGAAACGTCACTTTCGCCAATCTGAGCGATAACTGATTCTTGTTTGGCTTTCAGCCTGTTTGCCAAGTGAAGATGGTAACCCTATTTCGCCAAAGGCCGTTTCTCAGAACTGTTGCTACAAGCGTGGCAACAAACAGCTAATGTGATAACGGCTTAATGATGGAAGGTGAGTATAACGATCAGCAGTTGGACAGCATGGTTCCTATGGAAGAAAGGGATACAGGGTAGTGAGATCCATAGTTGCATGGTGTCGGTGAGAGGGAAAACAAAGCACCCTCAAGGCATACCATATCCCGTTGCTTGGCCAAGTTCAGCAGTGGAGTGGAGACAACAGCCAAAGGTGTCAGCACGGAAGACCAGCAATATCGCATACAGCAGTGAATGTGGCTGCCATGTTGGATTAGATCATGGCAAACAGGTGCATAACATTAGAAAAGATGAAGGAACATTGCAAGTGATTTGGAGAGAATAAATGTGCATGCAAAGTGGGTGGATCTCAGACCTAGAACCAAGACCTCACACTACGCCTTGCTTGACAAGATGAAGGACACAGTCAGGGGCCAACATGTTGAATCTTCTTCCAAACTGCATGCAATTGTCCATAGGTAGTGCACCAACAGCCCCACAGACTTGTTTACCATAGCCCTTCGGGAAGCCAGATGACAGAAGTGTAATGACATGGACAGGGATTATTTCTAATTGTTTTTTTTTTTTTTTTTTTTGTTAATAAACTGTATACCGCTCTGTGGCAGCATTTGTGTCATTCATTTCTGTACGACCTTAATATATTTTATGGTGATAGCTGCGAATTTGAAGATTTTCAGATATCACCAACAAAAGAAAAATTTTCCAATTAATGGAATTTATGAAGATATGTGGAGAAATGGTAATAAATGAAGATGATATAACAGAAGGTTTTCATTGTGACTACAATGGTCTAATCATCAATCAACTAAGGGATAGAAAAATCTATACAATGGTTTTAAATCCAGAAAATCTAGCTCATGATAGTGAAGAAAATGACAGAAAGCTTGATGAGAATAACAAAATGTCGATTAACTATTTAGTAGGAATTCTCAACATGGCAAATATTAAAGTGAAAGTATTATCACAAAAAGCAAAACAGCTTACATTGAAACAAATGTTTAATAAAGTCAAGAAATAAACATTGGATTTTTTTTGGTTGTAAATTTTGATTGCCTTAAAGTGATGAATGCTTCATTATTTATTATTTTTAATTTTATAATTTCTACATGTCATCTAACAAGATTTAAATTGAAAAATCTAAATTATAGAATTGTGAATAGAAATTACAGAATTGAATAGAAGTTTTGACGATCTCGACTTTGTACTGTTATTTCACTATTTCAAAAATACTTTTCTTCTATATTTTTAATCACATTTCATTCTCACATCATGCAATACCTGTCTGAGATAAATATTACTACTTATCTATTTACAAACTGTCCTCATTCATTCACACTTAATCAACAGTTTATAAGACACCCAAGACTGAATTTTATACTTATATAAATTGAAGTTTATCTTTAAGATACTGAATAGTAAAAAAATAAAATGAAAAGATTCCTACTACAACACTCTTCTGTAATTATCATTATAAACAGTTAAAACAGACAATAATCACCAATTTCTGAAAACCCAGTGAAATACTATATTTACTTGAATATAAGACATTCTATTTTTGCTCTAAAATTTGCAAAAATAGAATGGGGGGGGCAGAATGAGGAAAAGGAGTTTAATTATCATACTATATAAACTACATGCATATTACTTAACTACCTCTAATTATAATAGCCATGTCTATCTGAGTGATTTCAGTTTAGGCCTGTATCTATTTCAGCTGTCAATAATATGTTCGAAATCAAACAGGTAACAATGTACATATAACAGTGTCCTTAAATCAAAGCTAACAGTGTTCTTTTCCAGAGTCTGAAGGAGGAGGGGGGGGGGAAGAATACCTCTTTCTCAGAATTACCACAAGGCATTTGTTTCTTAAAATTTATCCTTGAATGAAGAAGGGTCATTACAAAAGCACATGGCTTAGAAAGGTTATACTTAATAAGAAAATGATTTGCTCTTATGTTACATATAGTAACAGCAATCAAAATTTGAATGCATGCAACATTATTTTGTGAACTTGTAGTTTCCAGTATTCACTAATACTAATCTCCTTGGATTCTAACGCTGATAGATGCAGTTTACATTTGGATTCTAATATGAAACATGACTTTCAAAGTATCATTTCATAAAGTGCGACTTCATCATCATTAAGTTCATCAACTGTGCAAGCCTAATCTGAGCACTACAAATTCTATATGCCATACACAATGAGAATACATAAGGATGAAATTTTAATGCCTAATCATAATTGAAAAGAATTAAACTATTTACCGAATGCATGGGAATAATGACCACTGTATTTAACACTGATATAAAATTTATTTGAGTACATACTATGAAGTTTCTTGCTATAAGAATACTCAGGGACATAATTATTTTTATTATACAAGATAATAAAATCAAATTCCGATGTTAATTAAATATATAAAATAACAAATCATAAATAATATCTATGATGATGTTAGTTATTAAAATATTTTACATCAGTAAAAATTTTCATTGGATTTTATATGATTAATTTGATAAATGATGTAACTAATCAAATTCCCAACTAAATACTTTCTCCACTGCAACCCAAGCCCTTATGCTGTTAATTTCTATTTAATACACTAACCCTAGATATTTTTCAGAAAACTTGGGCACTTTTGAGATATGATTTTGAAACAATTTAGACTAGCATGCCACACTACTGACTTACTGTTAATTTCAGTGAATACGTGTTTTTTAATTAAAGAAAATGAATAAATATTTAATTAAAAAAACTCATATTAACTAAAATTAACACTGAATCAGTAGTGAAAAAAATTTATTTTTGACCTATTAGCTATTAAAAAAGGTGTTTCTTTTAATTAAAAATAAAAATTTATTAGCAGCATTTTTATAAATTTACTGGGTGAGTTTTTATTTTAACAGTAAAGTATAATCAAGGTGGTGCATAATTTACAAGATTACAAACACAATAAATAAATAAATAAATTTAAAAAAAAAAAAAAAACAACCCCAGCATTTTTTTAAAAACAAGGTTCATATAATTTTTAACATAATTAATTAAGTTTTTAAGTACATCAATATACACTTGAATTAAATTTCAAGCACCCCCCCAAAAAGTTTTTTTACACAAATAAATCTGAATTTTAGTCTGCGATAAACAAAGGCATCCACAGTACACAGAATAATAAATAACCATGTGATTTCTTTATTAAACCAAAATTAATGCACCTCAGGAAAATAAGATAATTTAAAGATAAGTAGATGAGTGCATGAAATCATAATCTTAATAAAATGCATAGCATCAAATAAAAATGTTTTAATATGCCAGGCAATGGTAATCCTGAACAGCTGTCTTTCTAACATAATTAAAATCAAAGTCCTTTATAACAAATATAATTATTAAAGTATTAAGTAGTTTAGAAAATCTAAGATCATACTAAAGATTGCACCACTAGATAAATAAAAAATAAACATGACTAAATTATACCCTCTTCCAAAAAATATCAGTTCAAATTTTATAACAAAAATGTTTAACTGCAGTAATTTGAAGTACTTTACTTATGACTAATACATATAAAATAAATGTATAATTATGGAAATGTAACCATTACATATAGCATATCCAGAATTATACCTCTGACTTGATTTTCTAAAGAAGAAATAACTTCAACCGCTTGGTACAGAATGTTGAGTTTTGTCATAGCTCTGTCTGATTTCAAATGCAACATACACATCCGTCCAAGCTCTTTAAACGCTTCGTTTATGTCTCTCACTCGTATTCTAAAATACATAGGCAGAGAAAAACAAAAGTTTTATACTGGTAATTAACATCAAAACTCCCACATTAAATTAAAAATATACTAATACTAAATCCCAGCAAAATTACTAAGACTAAAATTGTTTGCTTTCAGCCATCATTAGGCAAAACAAACTATTGCAATTTATTGCTATTATTAAACCTTAGTTACCTTGCTTTTTTTTCAAATTTATTGCTACAGTAAATTTTTTTTTCAGCCATCATCAGGCAGATAGATTACTACCTTTGCAAATTTATTATTACAGTAAATTTTTAATAGATTATTTATATAAGGTTTAACAACAAATATTTTTTGAATAGTTAAAAAAAAGGTTTAGATTTACAAATAGCTGTAAATACATAGCTAGAAAAAGATACAGCATAAATATAAAAATTGAATAATCTGTAAAATATATGATATAAATAATTTAAGCTTCTACAATAGGATGGTAAATAATGCATGCATATATATAAACGTGTATATGGTTATATATACTGAGAAAATAAGGTTAATTATTATTATTAAGGTTACTTAAATAATAATCTTTTATTTTCAATTTAACAGTTCATAAAAAAATTTTTTTTTATGATAAAATTCTGAGTTATCCACTAACAACTGTTTTACGGAATGCAAAATTGCAAAATGTGAAAACAAAACACTGAATCAATATTTACATTTCGCTCATTTAGTTTCTTTCATGTAAGGAAGATTTATTTTTTAAATGATAAAAAATTATAGAAAAAATATAATTTTTAATAATGAATTAACCTTTACATAGTTATTAATGGTGAAAAGTTATGTTACTAACATTTTGATTATTTGTACATTCAACAGAAAAATAATACAGTCAAATACCGAAAATCCGCCGACCTGAAATCTGCGTTACCTCTCAGAATATAAACATTCAGTTTATAGGTTCCGGAACCCGCAACACTGAGTATGAAATATTGAAGAAAAAAATACGTAACAAATAATGACGTCATAATTACCAAATAATAACGGGTCAAAACAATTATTGATATAAAAACGTTAGAAAAATAAGATAGTTTTTTACCTCTAATCTGCAGAGGTAAAAAAGCAGATGATTCACTCAACTCTGTTCACGTTCACGATTGACGTTGTTGTATTTTCTGAGCTTTGTTATTTCATTTCACGAGATTGTTTAGTGTTGCCGTTTTTTTATCTGGATATTTTGTGGCTAAATGAAGAATATTTTTAATTTCAGCCCTTTTTAATACAATGACAGATAAGAAACGCACTCGTGATTTTACTGCTTGCAACGCCGAAAAACGTAAACTCGTTCGTTACATTCACAGTAACGCAAAAAGTGCAAATTCTGCAAAAGATGGAAGCAGGTGCTACTCCTTGATTTATAGCAGAATGGTATGGAATTGCGACACGATTGTGTATGATATACGAAAGAATAAAGAAAAGCTGTTGAAATTTTACAGCAACAATGATTCTAACACCGGAAATCTTTGCATGCGGCGAAATCAGCAAACCTCGATGCTGTGTACATATAATACAATGAATAATATAATCAATTTATATATGTAATAATAATTTAATTTAATGTATCTAATACGCATCATTCATTTTGCACTTTTAGTCCGAATATTATGCTTCATCTTTTCTGTCCTGAAATCCACAAAATCCTAAAATCCGCACAACCTCTGGTCCCAGAACCTTTGCGGATTTCTGGAATTCTAAAGTAGTTCAATCAGTTTTCCTACAAATGCTAAAAACACTGCCAGAATTTGCTTTCATTGAGAAAGAAACTTCGTAACTTTGTTCATAGCAATTACCTCGTAGGCCTGCTTTCACCAACAAAAGGTTTTCTAATGTATCATTACTAATATTGGATCTAAATTTAGTCCTTGTTGTCATAACACACAAAATCCTCTTGCACTCTGTATTACTATATGAATTGTTAGGACGGCCAATATTATTCTAGACAGTTCAAATCATTTTAAAATTCCATTGGCACGTTTCAGTTTTCCAATTAAACTCCATTGGGTGTCAATCCTTGCTGGTTTAATAACTTTATTCCAGTTTTCTAATTGTAAACTACAATTGGAATTGAGCAATTCATTATCTTTCTAAACTAAATGGAATAAAACTGAAAATCTATACAAAAAATTTATAATGTAAGAAGATGCATTTGCTATAGAGCAGACACATCTGCAACTTTAGCATGTAAAATCACTTACTCAGTGGAAGTAGCTTTTAATATGGAAACAAAACTTATTTTTGTCTTTCCCTAAAATTTCTTCTACTGCTTTAGCACAGTACTTGCAACCCCTATAAAATCTTGATCTTTTTTCTTATTTTCTAGTTTACCATAAATCGCAATATATTTAGAATTAACATCCTTTCTTTTGCCTTAAATATATTAATTAATCACAATATATTTAAGGCAAAAGAAAGGTTGATTTTATAATCTTTGATTGCAAACATAAATTAATGGAATTCTATACTGTAGAGTTGTGTTAAGAACATTGAATGGTAGCAAAATGAAGCGCACAAAAAAGCAAAAAGCTTTCTTCACAAGATAAACTTGCAGTAATCTGAAAATGTTTCCCCTGTCCAGGAATTAAAATTTTTTATTTTTTTTTATTTTGAGAGAACTTATCAGCTTAATGCTTATATTTTGCAGTATTATTTTCAGAACTACCAATTAAATTGCTCACAGATGCAGAAATTACTTTTTCTGATACCTACTTTTAACAGTGGAAGTAGTAGTTTCACCTCCATTTACTTTATTCCATTTAGGTATATTATAACTTTCAGTACAACCATTTATCTTAACTCCAGACTCATTTACTTCCTTCTTAAAAAATGTAAGAAGTGGGTTCCATTGGTCGAGTAATCTTGCTGAGTATTTCTCTAAAGATAATTAGCACGTACATACATGTTTCAAAAATTTTCTTATTTCAATATTATGCAGCTGTTGGAGCTGTTTCATTTTTTCCCTTCTTTTCAGAATTCTTTTCACGATAATAATACATAACAACAATGTGTCCATCCCCACTACTGGTAGAGAAGCTGCATCTTTTTCAACTGCTCAACTTAAGAGGTTACAAGTGCACCTCATAATTTAGGAATTTGAATTTTTAGTTCAAAGAGGCAATTTGCCCAGAAGGACTATTGATTTCATTCTGGCATTTTGCGTCGATTCACAACAAGCGTTGTTCCACTTTTCAAACTGTTGCCACTAAATATTATCGCCCTTTATTATTTTTAAAGAAATTAAATAATGAAGAATCTGCATGAATGTAGGCATGTTTCTCACACTGTGATAAAACAACGGTACCTACAGCCATCAAAATTTGAGTAACGTAATCTTCCACAGAATATGGGCATGTGGAAGCCCTAATTTGAATCTGAAATTTGTTTTATTATCGATTTCATATTTCATAACACTTCAACAAATTTTTGATTAACAAACTAAATGATTTCAAAGCAGGCAATGGCAACACTGTACGGAGGGCGAACATTTTTATCTCCAGCGTGCGAGACTGTATAAGATATGCTCATTTAAAAATTTTGCAATATTGCTGTTGAACTGTTTATGGTGTCAGTGCGAAGAACATGATACTGAATAAATAAAGGCAACACACAAAATGTTAAAAAAAATGCCCCTTTGGATGTAATTATTAAAATCTGAAAATTTTCAGATTTTTAGTCTAAAGGAGCAATTTGCCCAGAAGCACTATTAATTAAATAAAAAATTTTTTAAGAAAGCAGGATCACCAGTCTTCAAGCCTTCCATTACTGGAGCATTATTGGCACCTAGTGCTAAGCAATTAACACGATAAATTGAATTTTCTTTAAAAGTTTTAATAACTAGCTGTGCTATATTAAAACCTGTTGAATCTCCTTCTAAAGTGGGGACAGGAAGTAAACTACACTCAATTTCTGAAGACTCTGGAACTAGAGACAACAATTGGATACTGTTTCGCATCAGTATTATTGCTTCCATCCGCAAAGAGGTGGAATGGAGCTGTTTTAATGCAATCAATAACAGAAGAGTTATTACTCATACACATTTCTTTAACAAATGCAGCTGTTTTTGTTCTTGCATTTGAGTATTTCTTATTGATTTCACCATTAGGAAATTTTTTTCTAAATAAACCTACAGCATGATCTGATGCATTTAGCTGCTGGTCCTCCAGTAAGGAAGCAGAGAACAGGCATATTTATCAATAACTTTTTGGTCTTTTGTTTCCACAGAAAAATTTAATTTTCCCTTTTTTTTTACAAAAAAAGCTCACGTTGTCCTATTGTTTTTGTGTATGTCTATGTTTAAGAACTTTAGCCCTTCCACTGTGTGAAATTGAAAAAAATTGCAAAGATAAATGGTACCCATCGCAAATGTTCACTTACTTGGTGAAATCATCTGTATACAATTTTTGAAAAGTACATGAGCCTCTTATCTTTTTTTTTTGGCAGACATAACAAAGATTGCAATTTTTTAAACTATTTCTTGAAAGCATGCAAAACTCAATGTGCTCAGTCAAAGTACACATGTTCTTTAGCTCAGCAGCAAGACAAATGAAATAACAACCCCAATCTTGCGTTGCGCTCACTGGCTAATACATGCCAGATGACCCCAAGCAGTACTTGATGCTCATTGGAAAACCAGAACACGACATTTTCAGACACATATACTCTCACACAAAAAGCAGAAAGAAGCATTGATTGTCTCATTGATAAAATCGGTTATCTTTTACACACAATGGGAGGAAAAAAAAAAAAAAAAAAGGCGCTTTCAGACGCCAAAAAATAACTTTTTAGGGTTTAAATAATGCAGTATTAAGCCAAGCTACATAAAAATTATGAGAAATTTTAAATAATTTAATAAAGAGAAAGTCAGAGGAAATATGTTGTAAATCAAGTTGACAGGAGTAGGGCCTCAAATCGAGAGAGTTGGCAACTCTGGTAATGGTAACACAAAGGGATACAGATAATGTACATCTAACAGCAACCTTCAGCTTTAGTGTTTATAAAGCCTGTTAAAAAAATTTAAATACCTTTCTCTGGCATTATTGGCTTGCCTCCTTTCTTTATCTTTTTCAGCTTTAACTTCTGGAGGTTCATCATCATCATCATCTACAGATCTGGAACGAAAAGTATACTGCTTATGTCTGATAGATACTTATCTATACATCAAACAATGAATAATGACAGTTGACTAAGTCATACAAATAAATAAAATAAAAAAGGGTCTCTCATCATTCTAATATTTATACATGAAAATGATGGATACGTCTAAGATTATAAATTACAAGATCAAATCCTCTTCATATGTTTCAAAAATACCCAAGTGTGCTCAGATTAAAAAATAACATAAAAGTTTAAAAAATTATTGTTCACAACTTATATTTTGGTATTCATATTAAAATTCTGATGCAAAAGCCAGAGATCTTAACATAAAAATTGAGAAATGGTACCAGCAACATGTACATGGAGAAAGGTTAAAATACAATTGCAGATATGCTTTACATTGTAAAGAGATAATTTGATAAACCACATATATTTCCCCTCAACTTCACTAGATAGTACTTTTCCAAAAGACATAACATAATACACTTACAACATCTTCCCAATACCTTCTCTCAAGAGGCTCAAATGCAGACTCTTCCTCCAAGCCTGTATCAAGCACGGGAAATTCCCAGCGTATTACAGACGATTCCTCAGACGGGACGTCAACTGTTCTTGCGGTTTTCACGGGGAAGACGCGGACGCACTTCATTACCTGCTCTCCTGCCCTCTGACAGAGCACCTTCGACAGCAGTTCTTTCCTTCCGACTACATCACATATCCTGTGAACAGACTGTTCACGGACTATTACTGCAACAAGGGCATCTTTGAGATAATGAAGCAAGTGAATGAAAATAATTATATCCAGGAAACTACAGATTAATGTAAAATGTAGAAAGGCGGCCTAACCGTGAGATTGCTAGCATTGACTAGGATGACTTCCTAACCCTGTAGTGTCATTAATTTAGTTTGCCGGAACAGGTTAAGTAAAGTGACCATATAACATAATACAGGCATTTCAACATTTGCGTCATGCATAAGGAAGTAGCTGCAATCCTTGCCGGTATACTATTTCTTTATTTTTGTTCATAAACATTATTTAAAGTCAATGCAAATAAACTGACATCAAAAGTATGCCTGTTTCTTCAAAGACTACAATAGTACCTCTTAGATTTTTTAAACATATTTAAACATAGATGGAGCAAGAGGCATTAACAAACCAAGAGAAAGAATGTAATGTGCTCAAATGAAAGCTTAGTTCAGAAAGGTTTAATTTCAGTCTGAAATTGTCCCTCTGTCTTAAAACGTCTGGCTGGCTCCAGGTGGGGCTGTGACAGAGAAACATTGATGACTACTTACAAATTATATGTTCAACCAATTATTAGTTATTGTAGATTGATCCTCATCACAGCTCCAGAGAATTAGGTCCAGATCCTCTTAAGTCTTCCAGAACCAAGCACTATGCATAATTACTGGGGCAGTGAGATCTACTCCTATTCTTGCAATGCAGCTTTTAACCAATCTGGAACTGGTTCATGATTTTACAAAAAGGAAAGCGATCATATTAATACCAGAAGCTGATGCATTTACCTGACCCCCCTTTTTGGAGGAACTATAATAACAGAATTTCTAGAAATCTTTGGCTAAAAACTCAAATTGGCTTTAACCAGGCTGCTCAGAGAGAATGTGATGCTTTGGAATTTGAGCCGAGATTATCTAATTTTACCTCCTCTCCAATGTCCCTTGGGCTTTTTGAATTTGAATATAAATCTTGATCTTAGTCAAAGAGTTGTTAAAAATGAAATGAGAGATTCTAATGCAATGGAAACTATTAGGATTTGCTATCCTCAAAATGAGTGGTTGCATGGCTATACTGACGGCTCTATGTTAGAGAAAGCACAGTGCTGGAGCAGGTATTCATAGTGAACTTTTTAGTTTCTACTAACCATTGACATACCATAACCATACTATGACATACCATGACCAACTACTACCATAACCATCCTCTAACTACTGCCTTTGATAGGCAAATTGAAACCATTGTTGTGGCGCTATTTAACAACTGTCGATTCATAGGCACTCTTGTAAAGGCATTCATATTGTCAGATTCCAAAAGTGCACTTCAAGCCTTTCTGAATAATCAAAATAGTTCTCTAAGAATCTTAGACTACATAAAGGCAAAAGCACACAGAATTCTTTCCAATGAATTCCGGCCCACTGTGGAATTATGGGAATGAAAAAGCTGATACATTGGCTACTGACCGCTTTCTTTCCATATGACTAAATTGTTTGTTAACCGTCAGGTCTTAAGAAAATTCCTAAGCAGGATATGACTCAACATGCTACAGATAGGAGATGAAGGATTCTGGGGCAAGAGATAACTTTCATTTCCAGTTTTCCAAGAAAGACGGTAGTAGCTTTATTTAGACATCTGACTGGTCATGACTGTTTGCGAGACCACCTCTACAGAACTGGAGTGGTGGATTCCCTAAACTGTGTTTGTGTGACTCCAATTAGCCTATGAATTTTGAACATTTAAATAACTGTATTGCACTTTCTCTGTATATGGACATAGTTAAAAAGTACTGGAGAGCGCGCAAACTAATGGCTTAAGCGCTAACATTTTAATTACATGCAGTTACATTTTTCAAGAGAGAAAGGAGAAATAAATTAAATAGAGTGTTAAGGGATTACAACAAATTAAAGTTAGAATTTTTATTTTAAATTTTCTATCTGACACTGACACACACACACATGCATGCACGCACAGGATTCCAGAAGCTAAGCACACAATGCAAATTAAAAATTTTCAAAAGTGCAATTGAATTTGAGTGACTGAAAAATCACTTTGGATGCAGATGGCAGAATACAAATACCCTATGTTACAGTGAATAATAATTGGCTGCCTGAACATACTACTTCGGCAGTCATTGAAGATGCCAGCATTCTGAAGGGTTTGAGGAGGTTTATTTAAATGTTAATTGTTTATAATTTTCTTAGGATCATTTTTGATTTTGTTTGTGTTACCATGGTTGAAAGAAGATGAATGACGGATAGTGAGCATTGGCATGCTATTGATGCACTGAAATAGGACAATCAATCAGAAATTTCTCAAGTGTGCAAACAATTCCAAACAAGTTGAACAATCTTCTGAAGACCCCTCTCCAGTAGACCAAAGGTTCAACCCCTTTGTAAAGGCATTTCTTGCATGGAGTGGCTGCTGTATTCACCCAACCTTAATTCCACTGAGAATCTTTGGATTGCCCTGTGGGATGTTTTCTCAGAACATTTACCCCCTGCTGCCAATTTTAGGCAGTTGGTAACTACCCTAATGGAGGAATGTCCATTACCAGCATATGCAATAGTTGATCACCTCAATGAAAACAGAGGCAATAGCTGTAAAATTTCTATGAAGATGCAGGGTGGTCATATACCTTTTTATGTAAGTTTTGTTTCTTTTTAGTTCTAAACATCAATTTGTTAATGAACCAAATACGATGTAACCATATAATTTATGAAAATTAAATATTGCTTTTAACTTTGTACATAAATGGTTGTTTTCTTTCACACATATGCATATTTTTTACCTGCATATATGCAATGTAATGTTAATTAAATATTTATTTTTCCACTTTTGTTAATTGTACCACTTTTTTCTTAACTTTTTGAAGCCAGTGTAAGTACATATAATGAAACAGTATACAGTGAACAAATAATACAGCCAATGTGCTTTTATTTCAAAACTTTTAAGAACCAGTAATAATAAAATAATACAGTGTTTTTCAACAGAGAAATAAGCAGAATTATAATATTATTTTAAATTTTTCTCAAAAATATATATCTTTTCTAGCTAAAAAAAAAAAAAAAAAGTTCATGTAAATTTCTGGAAATGGATGCTCACTTTTCTGACCTTTGCTTGCTTAGATATATATCATAAAAAGCTATAATCAAAAATAAAGATCATGACTTCAAGTACAAATTAGCTCTGGAATTTGCTGGCAACAACATCATAGCATACAGATGTGTATGCTCTCATTTCTTTCCCTTACTTCTTCCCCCTCTCCCTCCACTTTCATTGAATAATTCAGAGATTAGATTGGTTAACTGTACAAGGCTGCAAAAAACTCACAGCATCATTGTCAGCTGTGCAACAAAGTGTGAAAAAGTTTGCCCAAGCTGAAGAATTATTTAACATACTGTATTCCACTCATTTGTCAAATGGCCACGGTGTCAACAAAAACAAAAAAGTGCAAGGAAAGGGATTGTTGTAAAACCAATTATTTCACCACACGTCAGTAGCAAATGCCAGGTGGATCTCATCAATTACCAATCTCAACCGGATGGAAAGTTTAAGTATCTTCTTGTATACTAAGAACAACAAAATTTCTTATGTTGAAGTTGCTCACATAAAAGTGGGCAGATGAAGTAGCCCATAACTTGCTTGATATTTTTCTCCTTTTTTGTGTCCCAAGTATTTTGCATTCTGATAATGGACACAAATTGTAGTTAAATCTTAAAATGTGCGCCTCGGTTAAGGCCAGAAATCAACATGGTTAATGGTAAATTTAGACACATCCAAAGTCAAGGAAGTGTTGAAAGAGCAAATTAAGACATTGAAAACATTGTCACTATTTGAATGGCTGATAACCAAACTAACAAGTGGAGTAAAGGCGCAAGACTTGCACGATCCCTTAAGAATCATGCTAATCATTCTGCAATTAAAAGAAGTCCATATGAAGCCATTTTTGGTTATCATGCAAAAGTAGGATTGTCTTCTATTATACCACACATCTGATAAATACTGAAGAAAACGCTAAAAAATTACGAGATTCACAACAGACTGTAATTATGAGAACACGATCGACTCTTATTCTACAGAACATTCTGTTATTCCATTTCTACAGAATCACCTATAGAAATGCAAGAATTTATTGTCAGTAATCTTAAACTGCCATCTACACCACTGACTGAGGATACAGTTATGAAGAATATTCAGTTACCAAGGAATCATCTCTGCATGTTGAAGAAGCCAACACTGACTTACCCTCAACTTCAGCAGAATCAACTTACAGAGTACCATAAGTTTCGCACAGAGCCTGTAAAGAGGACTGTACAAGACACAGTCTGCATTGTTTACTCAAAAGCAGCATCAGGTGCTCACAAGTGTAAACCATGTGACATGTTTGTTTATGTAATTTGTGGTGAAGCAGATCCTAAAGAGGTATGGTAAGAATGTATTGTGCCACATTTGTAAAAAGAATATATGGATATGAAAATACAATGTGATGAAACTAAGAAAGATTTTAAAAAGCAAGCAAAGAAAATGTTAGCAATTTCTAATGCAAAGCAACCAAATGTCGATAACACAGCAAAAATTGATGACCACGATTTTAGCTAACAGAGAATGGCTTTCATAAACTTGATACTAAAATGGATATTTTAAAACAACTGTATGCAAGATTTGAATTCTGCATTTGCAAAAAGTTCCCACTGTAGAAACATCTTTACGTCAAACATCAATTAAACAAACCCTTGGTACTGAGAAAATGTTACTGCAAATTTAAATGTACCACAAACAGGTATGCTTGTTGCCAAAAAAAAAAAAAAAAAAAAAACACCAATTGCTATGTAATTAAAAGTGTCATTTACCTTTTGATTGCACTAAGCATATTTTATCGTACGTTTTACAGATTCATTTCCTTGACTGTAGTAATATTTTAAACCATTTGATTATTAGTATATAATATTTTTTTAATTACTTGATAATTGATTCTATTAACAAATTTGCCAACGGTCTGACTGTATTAACTCGATTCTTTAGATATTGAAAAATAAATAAATAGAATTGTTAATTTAAGCGTACAGACATGTTGCTATTGTCCAGCAAAGATCTTATTTTCACTTTAATGAGTGCCTAATACATAATGTGCAGATTATCTGGGAAATTTGCAATTACCTAGCTAATTTGAGAATGAAACAATTTTTAGCACTTTAGCAGATCACCCAAGTTAATCTGCACATTACCTAGATAATCTGCCCTTCAGTGGTAACAATCGAATTGATCATTTCAAAGTAAAATTTGTACTCTTAATGAAGATATAAGTAAATAGTTTAACAATAAACATATATCAATTTAAATAAAATATGTGAAATTTCTTCAATGAATGCATTATGTGAATAAACTATTAACCAGACAGACCTGGACCGTGTTCTTTTCACACCCCTGGATGATACAGACTTCCTACTAGTCGTGCTATTAGAATTAGGTGTGCATATAGGAGTTGGTGCAATGACAGGAAGAGTTTCAACAGGAACCTGAAGGGCTGTCAAGTCTTTGGCATCAGATAAACCTTCAATTTTTAGATTTCCACAAGAATTTACTGCAGCTGAGGGAGGGGTGGAGAAAAAGAAAATTAACTTTCTATTTTTAACACCAATGATACAAATTAACAAATTCACACACTGACAAAAGATTTTTAAACTTACCAAAGGTTTGTGGCGTTGGCACTGTTTGACCTGGAGCTCCAATAACAGCTCTTCTGCTATCTGGAAGTCCATTTTGTTGTGGCTGTGAAAACAGGCAACAGAAACAATTACAATATTTTAAAAACCTTAAAATAAAAAATTATTACAGAACATAAAATGTCTCAACATATTTTAAAGTGACTTTAATATTTTTGAAATGATATATTTAAGTTAACAAAAAGCTAATTTTTCTGATTATACATTCAAATCAAATTATTTACCAATGAAATAAGAACCCACAGCCACTTTTTGCCAACATTTGAGGACTGCAGCCTTTCAGTAATGATTTTTTTTTTGCTCTAACTTTTATTACCCGAGAACTGCATTTAAATTGATATCAAGCAGAATGCTATTCTCTACAATTCATATCTGCCTTCACAGGAATCTGATTAAGTACAAAGACAATGATGACCAACTGTATCATACTGCTACATATACATTCATGTTGCTGACCCCAACATGCATTCCATTGCCCATTTATAGATACTAGTCTTGGGATCAAAGTTAAAATTTAAATAAAATAAGAGAAAAAAGAAAAGTTATCCTCCCTCTCCTTAAAAGAGATTGAATATTAAGCCAGAAAAGAAAAATAGAAATCCTGAACATCTTTCAGGATTGCCATATGCTCACAAGAATCAGAGCAAGTATTTTGGTGATATACATTGACAGATACAGGATAACCAACATTAATCTTTATTTTGCACTTTTTCTACTTAAAAATATATCACAATTTACTAACAGATAGCTAGTATTATTTTAAAATAAAAAATGTTTAAAATATGCTTTAGGGGAAGGGTATTATTTTAAAAGAGAAATCATTACTACTACCAAAATATAATTACTTTTTATCAGCAAGGTTATATTTCGAATATTACTGAAGTTTTATTTACTAAATCACAATCTTCAGAATATAATCGTGTATCTCAATGGAATGAAGTTATTACTTAACCATTATGTGAATTCCAAATGGTGTGTGTGAGGGGGGATAATATTTTTTCAAAATAGTATCAAGCATTTAAATATAAACTCAATTTCAGTAAATAATACACCTATCCTTCAATTTACATTGTACTCATTTTACATGGTTTAAAAATTAGCAGATTTCAAAAACTTGGTAAAAATGTATATTCGGCTGCATATACGCAAATACATATATATCTGAAGTCATTTTTGAATCTCATTCCTTTGGTAAAACTGGTGGCAGCATCAAGGATGAGGATTCCCCATGTTATCCCTGTTATCCCAAGGGGAATCCCTGTAGTATGTTTATGTATTTCACAACAGTAAAGCTATTTGGTTCATATGAACTAGTGCAGTATCAGTATTTTAGCAGCAAAGCTTACATTATTTTTATCTATGTTTCCTGGTTTAAGTTTTCAATATTTATATTTTTTGTGGCAATTTTATAATTTACGTAAAATTTCTAACGTTTTATAATGGCAAAAGATTTGGGAAAAAAAAATCAAATAAGTTATTTTCTTTAGAAACAAAAATTAAAATATTAAATCATCTACATATTAGAGAAAGAGTAACAGATGTTGCTAAATTTTGCTCCATGAATGAAGCCACAATAAGGACAATTAGAAAAAATGAAGACTATTAGAAAAAAGTGTAGCAGCTGGAACTTGCAGCAGTAAGAGCACAATTTCATATGTAAGAGACACTACAATGGAAAATATGGAAAAGGCAATAATAATATGGACAGAAGACCAAAATCAAAAATGGATTCCAATTGATACTGATGCTATTAGAAACAAGGCTTTAAAAATTTATAAAGCACTTAAGAATCGGTCACTATCGACTTTGTCAGATGAAAAAAAGGTATCTTTTTCCACAAGTCATGGTTGGTTTGAGAGATTTAAACAAAGACATTCTTTGCATAATCTAAGTTTGATAGGAGAAAGTGCATATGCTGATTTGGATGCAGCACAACAATATCTAGCAAATTTGCTGAAATCATTCCACCAACTCCTACACTTCTGATCAGATCTTCAGTGGTGATAAGTCTGGGTTGTTCTGGAAAAAATTGGCTGAAAGAATCTATTTAGTTAAAGGTTCTTTCAGGTATATCAAATCAGCTAGTGGTCATAAGGTAGTGATAAATCGTATAACAATTCTTTTCCGTTGCAACAATTCCATGTAACAATTTTTTTTCCGTTTCATCCTTCAGTCGATTACATAATGAAACCATTGGTTATTAACAAATCAAAAACACCACACTTATTTAAAGGAATAAACATAAATAACCTTTCTGTTTATTGGATGGCTAATAAGAAAGCATGGGTCATTGCCATAGCTTTCATCGAATGGTTTCATAACATGTTCGTCCCAGATGTAAAATATTATTTAAGTAAAAAGGGACTGCCTTTTATGTCTCTTCTATAAATTGATAATGCACCTGGTCATCCTCAAGATTTACAACACGGAAATGTAGAAGCTTTTTTTTTTTTTTTTTTTTTACCATAGAATATAACTTTCTTATTATAGCCGTTAGATTAAGGAATAATTTCGAATTTAAGGCATTGTATATCAAAGAAACCTTCAGGTATATTTTAGTACATATGGAGAATGATGAATCTCTTACTCTTATGGATGTTTGGAAGAAATTTACTACCTTAGATTGTGTTAAGCATGTTGGAATGTCATATACTCAGATTAAACAATCAATGCTCAATGCATGCTGGAAAGCAATATTGCCGGATGCTGCTAAAGATGAAAATGATAGATTACCATTAGGAGAATAAATATTCTCAGATCACTAAATTAGCCCAAACTATAGGAGGAGGTTTTCAGGATTTAGCTCAAGCAGATGTTGAAGAAATAATGACTAATGAAGAATTAAATGAGAATACATTAGTTTACATGATTCATGAAACAAATAAACATATGAGAACAATGATTCTGATGAAGAGCAAGTTGAACCAGCTGCACTCACAGTAAGAGTCATCAGCATAGGACTTGAATTGTGAAGAAAATTGGGTAATAATTTTTTACAGTAAGATATGAATATTGAACAAGCTCTCCGATTCCAGTGAGAGCTTAGTGCTTAAATCAATATGAGGGCGTTTACAAAGATTTAGAAAAAAAAAAAAAAAAAAAAAAGGCAATTGTTAATTACGAATTTCATTACATTCTTCCCCAATTCGTCAATCTTATCAAGAATGCTCAAGTGATGAAAGTGACATCATACTAATCAAGAAGAAAATACTAATAGTTCATGAAAGCGATGACAGTGATTAAATTTATAATTATTTATTTGAATGAATAGTCATATTTTCCTAATGTAAAATAAATATATACTTCTGTTACCTACATATATTTTGTTATTTTATGAACTTTATTTATTTTAAGATATCTTACTTTTGTTTTATATAAATAAATATCTAAATTGTGCTCATTTAGTGTGTTTTTCATTGCTATTTACAAGTATCTTACACGTAAACCAAGGGATAGGTGTAATTTAAATTTTCAATTTTTATTTCTGAATACATTATATTTTAAAGTAAGTTTTCAATCTTTTGTTAGAGCCATTATAAAATAAATAAATTATTGGATTTAATAAACTATTTAGAGGGTGCAAATAATCATCATAAAAGCCAGTCTTCAAAATCATTTTTATCTTAAGACGTTAACAAACTCTCTAGTATGCTAAGACCTTTTTACAAATATTTTGGAAAGACTAAACACAGCCTAATGTAATTTGTAAATTATTCTATTCTGCTGAAAAATCATCATGGAAGAAGCAATCTGAAAACATACGTATCTCATAGGAATACACATGCACCTGCTGCAGATGTGCTTCCCCCTACAAATTTTTAATTTGCGATGTGCATAAAGCATATAAAAGAATTTTTGAGTACTGATTACTTCAGTAAGAAGGAATTTGGATATGTAACAATTATGGTAGTTTTTTGTATCGGTTACTAGATTTCAGAAGGAACTTAGATGTGTAACAATTATGGTAAGTTTTTACCCATTGAAACGATCATATATATTAAAGCGCAGATAGAAGTTAAAACAATAATAATAAAAAAGGGAGGGGGAATGCTACCAAATACATTAAAGAATAATTGTGTAAAAAATTTGTTAGAAATAAATAATGAATAAGTCAATTCTAAAATTTTAAATTTAATGTTTTTCTGCAGATTTGAGCAATTTAAAAAAATACATTTTTCAGAAATCTCATGATAAAGAGCAGAAGACTAATACTAAGGCAAAAATTACATTTTCATTGATGATAACAGACAATTGGAAAAACAGATCTTGATCTAATTATGTAATTAAAAAGAACAATAAACACAAAACCACTTTTCTTTTAGTATAATAAGGAAGCAAATACACTTACAACCACTTGGGTGATTGGGACTATTCCGGGAAAAGTTTTTACAGCAGGTGGAGAATTTCCTTGTGTCATACTGGAATGTAAAGTATTCAAATTAGAAGTAGGTGAAGAACCTACAGGCACAGCCGGTTGCAGTGTTTGTATCAGGGATCCTTCAGCATGATTCCTTAACACATTTATAGCATCATCTAGCCTTTCTTCAATTATTCCCCCTGTATTCTGTTGGAGGAATGAAAAATAATAAATTACTCTTTTTGGGGGGATTACAAACAGTATTTTAAATAATAAAGTATTAACAATTTATGCTTTTGAAACAAAGAAATATTTAAACAGATGGTTTTTGTGATAATGTTTTAACTTTTAAATCTTGTTCATAAAAATATTTATTTCACAAATTGGATGCAAGGTAAAATATGTAATTAACTGTTTTCCTACAACTGATGTATCTAAATAAACAATACATAAAAACTAAAGTCCAAATGAATTTTTTTTTTTTTTTTTTTTTTTTTTTTTTTTTTTTTTTTACAAAAGTGATGAAGAACTCTTGGGGGCTTCTGGTGTTTCAGGCTCTATCTAAGTCTATAATTACCTTAAAACAACAAATTTCTCAAAAAATTAGGTAGTCTATTTGCATAGTAAAAGACAATGTCTACACATTAAAATGAATTAGGTTTGACAGTTGTATCATTAAGGCTTCAACAACAACAGTTACATGTTCAGGACAGAGTTTTTTTACATATTCAGAAAATTTCAGTTGGTAAACAGGTAAAAACAAGCATCAAATTGTAATAAACAAAGCACAGACTTTGAGAAATTGTATTCATAGGACAAGAATGAATAAGTATATCTAAGATACGAAAATGAATTAACTTTACACCACAAAAGTAAAATACATAAATATATAACATAATAATAATAAACTCACAACAGTATTTGTGAGCTCTGTATATGAAGCAGGCTGAGGATTGAACTGATTATTTCCACGAGGCCAATTTGGGACAGATGCTAAAAAATATCAAAGTAACCAATTATTAAGTGTACAAGTAAAATAATTATACATCTGTACATTCAAAATTTGTATCAAACACTTTTTTTGGGCTTCCATTAAAATGCTACAGGCTTTAAATTAATGTAGAGAAATCTAAACAAAGTAAATATTCATTCAAAAAAAGGCATTTGTGCACTTCGATGGAAACAATACTTTTACATCAATACCAAACAACTTTGGAATAAATTAGCCTTTTTGTTTTGCTTACACTATTGAAATCTCTTAAAAAAGAACAAATATTTATTTACTTTTTAAGTAATAATTGTAACACTCTGGTAAGATGAATTTCCAGCAAGAGAAGCTGAATATAGACATTTACAATTTAAAATTAATGGCAATTTTTCTTGAAAAGTCAAAGCATCCAACATGACAAATTCTTTTTTCCTGATTTTTTCAGTTTTAAATTAATAACGCTTGACAATATTTTATTTCAAAGTAGGAAGATTTTTAACTTAACTATTATTAAAATGCTTTGAATGCTTTTTTTCAAAAGCAGATGTTGATTATATATATTCAAAAGATCAAATACATAAATCAATATACTAACTTTAATTTGAGAATAGTCCCTTAACTCTGTTTTAATTTGGGAATTTTTCCTTTCCGTCCTAAAAATAGCATCTGCTTATACCAAAGCTCTCTAAACTGCATTATTTCCAAATTAACAGCATCATACGATCCTAGTATAAAGCTCATGATGCAAATATCTTACATAAAGCTAATAATAGATAACTTCAGCACAATTAAAAACATTTTTGTAATTAGAAGTACATGCCTACAACCAATGACTGCAAAAATAAAGGCTGAGTTAGGACTTAACTGAGCAAACACAATCTCTCTCTCTCTCTCTCTATATATATATCTACAATTAAATAATGGAGAATCTGTATATTTGAATGTTCTATGCATTGTGGGAAAATGGCGGCACCTAGAGCTCTGAATTTTGAACCCAGTCTTTCACCCAAAGTGTGAATAAGATTGAATTTACATTTCTGTATGAATTAAATGATGTGACTTAACAAACTCAGCAATTTAAAAAATGAGCAATGCCAACACTGTTTGAAATAAAATATTTTTATCTTCAGCTTGCCAGAATGTTGCCATTCAGTAACCATAGGATATTTAACATTCAATTTACTCTCTCAGTTACTGAGTAACAAATTAGTGGTTTTAAAGCAATAAAAGCAGCATTTAAGAATATTTTTTTATCTCACTGATTTAAATAAAATTGCTTTTACGTCATGAAATGTCTAATTAGGAACATTAAATATTTCCATGAAATTACACTATCTGGACCTCATTAAAATTATTATATACTTTTTTTTCTTTCTATGGTACCTCTTTTACGCAGCTGCCTAAGCAAGTATATATATTACAAGCTACAGTAGAATTAGCATAAAACCAGTTTATATAAAAATGCTATAAAACTTACAGGTTAATGGTGGAGGTGAACTGATAGGAGTTGATGGTGCAGACGAGAAGCTACTATTGGTTTGGTCAGCTGAACATGTTTGCTGAAAAATGGAGGAAAATTTAGTTAAGTTTATGAAATAAAATGCCAGAAAAGATATATATATAAACTTAAATCACTAGCAATAAAATACCAAATTCCTTGAATTTATTACACTGATGTTGGAGATGAGATAAGATCCACATTCATAACAATGAAGTTGTCTCTGTTTTTCAAATTCCTTCTCATGAAATTGATAAGAAAATTCTGTCTTAGTTACTGGTTTAGTATTAAAATCTTTCGAGATTTCTTCAGGACTGTATTTACTGTGATAGCTACTTTGCACTCTGTCTCATTTTGATAAGCATCTTGAAATTTTAATCCCCAATTCATTGTAAAAAAATAAATACAAATAAAGTTTATGAGCATGGTTTCTCCAAGACATTTCAGCAGCCTTTTTATGTTTATAAAAGAACTGTTTCAACTTTTCACTATAACGTTTATATCTTTTCTAACATAAGACTTTTCCCATAATCATACTTATTTGCATTTTCAGATGAATCTTTGCTAGTATATTGGGGATTTCGGTAAGTAAACTGCCCAAAAGGTTAGCCACCCAATTTTTCTTATGAACCTGAGCCATTTCAGTTCTTCTCTCAAAATTTATCAAATACAGTCCAATTTATCCCCTTTTTTAAAATCAAATTTTGCAGTAACTTGTGCCAACTGGGTTTTATTACTCCTTTCTACTATATTCACTGGTGATTCTCTACCCCACATTTCTTGATTTTGCAATTTAAGTTGTTTTATTTCTAATTTATGTATTCTAGCTTCCAGTGATGAGTTCTTTCATTTCCTTAGCCGGGTTTTCTTCTTCAGCTTCTTGATTTAAAATTAATTTCTTCCTCACTGCATTAGTAGTGATTATTTTTCTAAATTTCTGGCACCTTACTGTTGAGTGGCACATCCTCACCTAATTTTTCAGCTACTTCTATTAAATTGTGTTTTCTATTCTTGGCAAGAAAAGAAAATTTTTTAATAGCATATGAAATTTAATCAAAAAGACTTTTGAATGATACTCAAAAATTCAACTCAGGATATTAATCACCTAGCATACATAATCTAGCAATTCATTTTTTGTTGTAAAATTTGAAATTCAAATATGACACAAAGTATTTTATTTCAAAGAATGTACTCAATAATATTTCATATATTACAATAAAAACATGTACTTTTCATTCAACAAAAAATTGTAACGATTGCTCTTAACAAAGGAATACTAAATACAAAAATTCAGTCCTTTAACTTGATAACTTTCAACAAAACTTTTGATTTGTAATTCTAATACAAATTTTAAATTGGAAATATTCCAATATGGCATAATAAATCTACCACTCTAATAGAAAAATCTCTTAAAAAAACTCTAATGCTAGTAGAATCTTGAAAACTTGGCCTATTGTGGGCCGAGTTTGTGAAAATGCTGGGTTATCGGAAAAGGTTTTAAAATGTATAAGTACGGGTGTTTCCTCAGAAAATAAAGTACTTGTATGTATTGGTTCCTTGAGAATACAACAGTTTACAAAGAATTCAATATTGTAACTCAAAATTAAACTATTAAAATACCCTTAAAAAAAGGAAAAGTATGTATTTTATGCAGGCATAGAGCCTTTACTATTGAAAATTAATGAATATATATTGTATAGTAATTTACCTGATAAGACAGACCTCAGAAAAATACTTTATGAAGGCATAGAGCTTTCTATAATGAGAAACTGACTAGCCAACTTAGCAAAAACCAGTTACTTATTTTTTTAAAGAAATGTGTAACATCCAGTTGTTTTCCGCACTGAACTCTGCATTTTGCTGTTTCATTATGAAGACGCTGAATGAACACTAAGTCTATTACCAATGCACCTTGTTGTTCAAAATACTGTAGAGAGGTTTTGTTAATCTTTAGTCCCTCCTCACTATGTGATATTTTAGGGTTTTATATGGTGCAGTTTTCAAAGTCAATGTTTTCAGCATTTTCTGCCGACCTGACAGGAAGGAATATGACTAAGTTATCGAGTACCGAATTTTCGGGACTACACTGCAATTAATTTGACACTTTAAAGAAAAGGCTCAAATTCAGAATATCATACTATTAATTAAATTCAGTAACAAGATGAAATATTTTTGTAGAAAATGGCTCCACATTCATATTTTTATGATGGCTGGTGCACATGCATCCTGTTATTTTCTGTTTTTAAAATTAAAGCTTAGTCTCAGTTTTTCGTCCTAGCAAATACAATCTTGGTCTAATATCAACTTTTTATTTTCTTTTAATTGTACATCACTTATAAATTAAAACATTTTCAAGCACGAGGATCTGCTGCATTTCTTGATGAATATTTATTTGGTATTGTAGCAATGCAATTGAACAATATTATAATAACAAACTGAGAACATTATGGTACTTCTCGAACTATTAAACAGATATGTATTAAAAACTGAAATATGAAAAAGGTAAATGCTTCTGCAAGCAGAGATCCCTTGTGTATTTCACCATGTTCCAATACCCTAATGTAAAAGCTATATTCCTCCACATAATGCCAAAAATAATGCAGCATCTATAATCATGAAATTCAACTAATCTGTGTGACTCAGATCTAAGATATTACAAAGAACACTAGATTACATTCAGGAATAAGGTTAGATTATATTAGCAGATCATGGCAAAGAGTTACTTTGCAAGTGGGAATGTGTCCCTCTAAGTAGAAACCATTCACGTGAGCTCTTATGCACATTAAAATGCATACCTTGAAAGCTTGCTGAAAGGTTAATTTGTATTGTAAAAGAGTTAATGAGTGGGAATACAGGAGAAATGTATTAATAATCATATTTAGGAATGATACTGTTGTGTGTGTACGGATTTACAATGGATTGAATGCACAAGTCCGACGAAAAGTGAATAAAATTTATTATTATCCCAAGAATACAAAATGCTTAAATTTCCTCAGAGATATTTGTACAATATCGCAATATCTCACAGTAGTTATATTTTATACTACTAAAATGCTTAACAGAATTCAATTCAAAATGGAGAGAGCTAATCCGATCTCACGGCGAATTCATTACAATAAACAACAAGAATTAAGTAAAAAAACTATTAAACAACTGAATTCAGATGTTTAACACCAGCTTTTATAAGCTTTATAAATCAAGCACGAGAATATTTTGGTATTTTCTCGATTTTTCCAGAAAGCAAAAGCATACAATTATGAGATAGCTATTTATTAAATGTGCATGCTCCTGTATTTTTTATTTTTCGGCATAGCTTTCTCTTAAAATAAGTCTTGTGCTGCATTGCATGGGAATATAAAACAATTTTAATTAATTCTACTAAAAATAGCTAAATAAATACAAAAACCATAACAATATCAAGCATGGACTATGCAAGAAGCTACCATCATTTAGCATTAGCACATATTACTATTGGATGAGTTAATATAATTAGCACATGTCGCATGCATGGGGAAACAATTCAGCAAGATGGTGGCACCTGACAACAGTACAACAAATAACAGCAGTAAAGTGCTGAGAAATACTTTTAGCTTAGTGAAGGCATGAAACATACAGACTTATAAATCTATTATCAGATGAGAATTTAATATAGTGACAGGTGTAAAAATCAGACATAACTGTCCATATAAATGAACTGAACTTCAAGAATCATATTAGTATGAAAGATTTTCCTAGTTTGAATCCAGCATTCTTGACAGTCATGCAAAACATAAAAAGTAGCATCACACCCCAGACTTGAAAAATATGTGCAAGATGGATATCCAAGCAACTTCACTCAAAATATCAGACATTTGTTGATACTTACTAAACACTTAAGCACTGAGATGTGCAAGATGGTAAGACATTTTGATAGCATACTGTAATTGGAGAGACAGGTGTTCTTCAATGACCAATACTTCAGCCCCTAAAGCTGAAGAAACAGTGGGTACAACAATCTACAACCACAGGAAGCAATGAATCAAAGTCAGCTTAACACTTTCACGGCGGGGCCAATTTTTATGTTCTTCGCTGTGAGACGGCGCTCGAATTTTTGCCACATTTCATCTGGCGGCGCGCAATTGTTACCTGTTCAGACCTGTACACAAGTTGTACGTTTGCTAATAGTTATTAATTATAATTGTTATTAAAAAGGTTTTTATACTAAATAAACGTTAATTTTTCATTATTTTAATTTTTAGCGTCTTTTATGATTCAAATAAAAATAATGAAAAACATTTACATGTAGAACTTTGATTAATTCAAAAGTCATTCAATTCGACGTGATGTTGTCATTCTACGCAGAATAAGTTTTGAAATATTTTTCAAGACATAACAGAACTTTTAGCACAGTGGGAGATTTTAAAACAATATGCATGTTTTTTAAGAATATTACTAAGTTTTACCATTATGTGTACCATCGGTGTGTACCATCGGTGGCATGCGCCGCCCGATGAGACAGACTAGTGCGGGTCACCGGTGGTACGTGCTGCCCGATGAGACAGACCAGTGCGGGCCACTGGTGGCCCACGCCGGCGTGAACGTGTTAATGTCAACTGATCCCACTCTCAAAATAGCCTTTCATTCCCATTTGACCCTTAGCAAGGAAGATTCATCAATAATTTTATTCCCAGTTCATCCTGATCAGTAAATATCTCTTCATTTCATTTATATCACACAGTCAAGAGTCATGTTTTCACAACCCTTGCTATAAATAAGAAAATATAAAGTCAGTGCATTCAACATCAGAATATTTTTAATGATTATTTATCTTGTTGAGATATGATGATATATGAGAACAAAAAATTTTGGTTTTAGTTTTCGAAATCTTGGTTCACAACCTTAATTATTCCTGAAGGCTGTTCAATAACATTTACTGAAATATTCATAAACCAAATAATTTTTCCCATATGAATTAACCAATTCCCAGATCCCCAGTAGTTGCTTAGAAAAGAATAATGCATATGATAATGTAATATTAACACACAGTATTTAACACTACTAAACATATAAAAAATAGTAAAACAAATTAAATTTTACCATGTGCAAAGGAAAGTTGATGGTGCAAGAAAAACAGTGAAGAAGTCAAAGGTGCAAAATGTCACTGTTTGAAAAAGAAATCCTATTCAATAAAATTATCACATAGCTGCCATCTTTATTTTATTTTCCCTTAATACTGCTTGACTCTACTTGAGAATCGCTGGGTCCTTTTCCCATTAAAAAATTTGTTCAAAGTGTTTTGTTTTAATCCATGTTTTTAAATATTCTTAAAGAAAAACGTAATATTGTCATTACAAACATTTATGCTACAGCTCATTACTGTTTTATCAGAGTGATAATATATTATGAACTTTTGCATCTTAACCCATTTCATACAAATTTCACAAATCAAATTACTAGAAACGTCCTTCCTTTCCTTCCTTTCGCAGTCTTCTGAAAAAAATTTCCTCCACTGCATAATCTGCATTTTGCAGTATTATTTGTTGCTGGCTAACTTGACCTGGAGACAACTCTTTATTCAAGACATTTTTCGTTAAGAAACTTTGCTCATGATACAAGGTTCAGCTGTATCATTCATGATACAAGTTTTTAACATTTTTTTTTTTTTTTTTTTGTAAATTTTTAAGATAAACACTATAAAGCAGATTATTATTGTCTCCCAAAAATTTTAGTCAATAGTAATATTTCATTATAATTCTGATGATAAGCTTTTTTTTAATTTAATCTTTTTCAATATTAAAAAGTTGACTTTTGAGAATTTACATATTAGACGTCCACATTTAGTTCGTTCTAAAAGAACACTTAAAGAAAAAAAAATTAAATAGATGCACTTCTTTAACGTACAGTACTTTGAAATAAATCATATTGCCATATACTACTAGTTGTAAAAAAGGAATATTTTCAAATGAGATATAATTCGGTTTCAGAGGAATAAGATTATTAACCACTTGCGCTACGATTTAACTTCACGGTTGCGGTGCCGTGCGTTGCAATATAACAAGTGGTAAAAGTGTCTCATTTACGCCGCTCCGCGTCTGTGAGTGCAATCCAGAGCTGTAACTTGAGAAATAAAAAATCTCATAGTTAGGCGACGTGTGCACCACGTTATTTTCATTGCGATAAATGCATATCGATGTGGTGTTCACGTTGCTCGCGGTTTGAGACAAAAGCATCTCAACGTGCATGGCACATCTTTTTAGTGCAAGTGGTTAACCATTTGTATAGAATTTCCTATTACTCTATTATCTGTTCATTTTATGATTCAAATAAAAATAATGAAAAACATTTACATGTAGAACTTTTGATTAATTCAAAAGTCATTCAATTCGACGTGATGTTGTCATTCTACGCAGAATAAGTTTTGAAATATTTTTCAAGACATAACAGAACTTTTAGCACAGTGGGAGATTTTAAAACAATATGCATGTTTTTTAAGAATATTACTAAGTTTTACCATTAGCACAAATAACAAATTTTATTTCTATACACTCTGCCATTATTACAGTGAATAAATAAATGATGTGTGGAACTACAGATTATTTATCTCCACTACAAAACTTTTTCAGGCAGCATTAAACTTAAGAACTTATGAAAAGAGGCCGACAATGATGCGTATAAATTCCCACAAATTTTTATAATAATTGCTTACCCTTCATAAAACTGATTGTGATTCTTCATTTTATCTGAGATAATACCTGTTTCCATTTCGTTGAATAACAGATTACATTATAATATAACTAACAAATAAGATAAAAAGCTCATCAGGAATTCCTCATAAATTAATATGAAACTTATTGAATAACCACCAATCTGATCAGTACGCAACAGAACCTCTTGCATGTTTTTATTTTATATCGGGAAATAATACACATATAACCAACATTATATCTGTTACAGCATAGGTTCCTAACCATGGGCGCTCACTGCATTCTGGTTAGTGCAAAATAATACTTTTTTTTTTATTTTATTTATAAAATAAATAATTCTGTAAAAAATACATTAGTGCATATGTAAAATATATTTCCTGCACACACATCAATAACAGATATGTGGAAGGAATGCTTTAACATGCTTTTTTGAACTGGGAAAAGTCAAAACGTTTTTAAAGAAATGAGACTATGATCTTGTTAGAGAAATGGAATCACAAGAATTCAGCCAAATATTAGACTACTGAATGATATTTTCACTCATATGAATAAACTGGATGTATCTATCCACAAGAAAGATGTAAATGTACTGATATTCTGCAAAAGGATAAATGGTTTCAAAGAGAAGTTATAACTTTGGCGTTGATGAGGGATATTTCTAAAATTTTCATCACTTGAAGGCTATGGTTGATAACAACAAGTCTCTGATTTCAGGTTCATGTGAAGGAACAGTGGATCTTTTAGGAATATTATCACTTACTTGATGAGTATTTTAAAATAGGAGAATTGAGAAGCAAATCATGGTCAAAGGTTATTTTTGGTTCAGGCTATCAAAGCTGATTTGGGATAAGGCTATAAACATTACAACCAAAACTACCTACTCAAAAGCTTCTTAAGGTAAAATCTGAAGCCAGTTACTTGCCATATACAGCATTGTTTGTTGAGGATATACAGCATAAGCAGATTCCTTCTTGACAATATGAGGCCATACATAACAATACCAATTATTACGAAGTTACAGTTTGAATGCTTCTCACAACTCAACTCCTTTTATCATCTTTAACTCACATGAATGCACAGGCAGAATTAAATTATGCAACAACAATGAAGTTTAGCTAGAAATGCGCGAGTGGCTACATATATACTGTCAAAAGTCGTTAATTCGGACCTCAAAGCTACAAACTTTCTGCGCATGCGTCGCATAGGCGTTTACGCATGCGCGTTTAATATATAACAGACGGTATAGGCTATAATTATCTATTTCAGTTAATGCTGATGATTGCGTTGTTCCTTAATCTTCGAATTGGATCCGGCTTATTATTTTTTGCAGACTGTTAGAGCAATTTTATAAAAGTAAGCTTGAACTTTCGATTCAAATAGAATTTCCGATGCTGGAGCTCCCAAAGGCTGCGAAAGTATGTTTCGATGTCCATCAAACAAAAAGTGGAATTGCTGCAAAAAATGGATAAAGGCATGAAGAAAATGACAGAGAGGTTAGTGAAAATGAAAAAATTTCGATTGACAAGTTAGTCGGTATTCTTGGCACAGCAATTACAGGACTTGAACAGCGGAACTTTGTAACTGAACAAGAAATTATGTCTGTTTATATAGAATTAAAGAGAAAGTATTAGCACATAAAACAAAGCAACTTAAACAACTTACATTGAAAGAAATGTTTAATAAAGTAAACAAATAAATATTAAGCTTTATTTTTTGGGGGTAAATTTTGATACCCTTTAGAACATAATTGTTCTTTATTTCATAAATTATGGTTTCATATTTTTAATTTTATAATTTCTGCATGCCATCTTACCAGGTTTAAACTGATGATCTATAATCCGGAAAAATCGATAATCCAGAATCGCCGAAGTCCCGACGTGTCCGGATTAATGACTTTTGATTGTATCAAGAATTCTTTTTCCATGATATCTATGTGCTTGTTAGCACTGGCATACTGAACTATGATGGGAACTCTGTTGACCAGTTTTAACGCAATTATTTTAATGCTTGCAATAAATACTCTGTAAACAAGAAAATCTAGTTTCCTAATAAAAGCATCTTATTTGTTATATGCAAAATCAGAATGACACTTTAATTACTTAACTCAGAATTTAAATAGTTTTAACTTTTATTTCCTATCATTAATTTTTTGGCATATTTAATGATGTATTTCCTTACCAATAAATCTGTAGGTAGATACATTGATGAAAAACCTGGAGCTGCATGATTTAAAGCAGGTGGATTTGGCATTAAGGATGTAGGAAATGTGTAATTGGGTGAATTAAGACTTGCATTGGAAGACCAAGTATCTGGAACACTTTCTAAAAAGGAAGAAAAAATCTTGTTATAAATGAAATAATAACATGAGAATATGAGAATTATAAAACAATTTATAAATGTGGATTATAAAGATATTCCCACATTTGTAAAATAACTCATTTATGATAATAGATGTAGAGAAAATTCAATCAAAATGCCTTTTATTTATCCAGTTATATTAACTCATAGTTATATTAATCCTCAATTATATTAATTCATAGTGTATCAATTAAATTATATTAATTATTAGCATCCATCAGTATTAAATTTATTCCTCAAATAAGATTTTTAGTTTAGATTATTTGTTTTTTCAGTCATTTTTGTTAAATTAGAAATAATCCCAACTCATGCATTCACATAACATTCTTCATGATTACCAAATTATTCGTGCAATTCAAAAGCTTCATCTCCTAATAATGCAGCATGTTAATAACAGAAAACATAATTGGTGGGCTTAATAATGAATAAAACCAATCAGTAAAGCTTATTAATGTTTGGAAAATGCTTCCATTAATATATAATATAAGAAAGAAACATGAAGTCAATCTGAAAGAACCCGAGTTGATTGAACTGAATATTATGAACCAAAACAAGTTAAAAGGCGTGAAAAAGGGCATATATTCATTAACATATTCATACACACAAAAATAATATAATACAACTAAAAATGAAATTTCCAATAGAGGTATATATTTTAGGAACAGACTGTTACAGTAAGAGTTCTCTTGGTGAGTTCAATTGAAAGTGATCAATGTTTTCGAGAATATACACAAAGCATTAAACTAATGAGTGTTTTCTGAAATTATCATTCTCAAACATAACTCAGACCATCAAATGGATTTTAACCCCAATAGAATGTAAACAGCTGCTTCAGTTGTTTCTCCATAGTTCTTGTTAATGGCATTCACTCATAACATTTCCAATACTAACTGTTATACGTGCACAGGTGTATAATGGATTGAATGCACACAGAGCCCATAATAGGTTGACAAAGTTTATTTTCTCAAAAGAAATACTTTATAGTTCTGGAACTTTCCACAAAAATACTCATACAGCTCTTCTCAGTATTACAGGGCACAATCAGCAGTTACCATTTCTGTCTATTAAGAATGCTAAACACAGTGCAATGCAAAGCGTATCTAAAGACCGAAGCTTGCACCAAGATGTCTTAAATACTCCAAACTTTGAAGTAAAAACAAAGATCTGATGGTCTCTCCAGTCTTATATAGTTTTCCCCTGGGCGCAAAGAAATTTAAGTGCCTTCGACTTTTTTTAAATTGCTGGAAGACATATAAGGTTACACACACATACATACACATAACCGAATACAGTTAGAGACACATATGCACCAGGCCAATTATAGTTGCTCAGAAACTGGAACAAAATATCACCAAATGGCTGCCATGTTTGTGGACTTCTGGGAATTTCTCGCTGAATTTAGCATCAAAAGTTAGTTGACAAAACAGTCTCCAGCTTGATCTGTTTCAATATTAAATAGACTTACCCTTGTAATCTTTTTTTTTTTTTTTTTTTTTTTTTGGGTAAAGCTTCACATTCTCAAGGCGTTTCATGTTATATTACCCAAGAGATAACTACAATTTTACATATAATTTCACAAAAATTATCTACATATGTACAAATATACTGTAACACAAAATCATATTATTCTGAATATTTCACCTTTTATCACTTATACAAAACATAAATATAAAATATTTAAATAATTAATAACTAGGTTGAAGCAAAAAAATTGTTTCAGAATTTTTATAAAAAACTTTGTTTCCTACATATATCACTTTTGTTCAATTATTATGCTTCTATTTCTTTCATTATACATAAATAAAAATACAAAGGGTATTAAAAACATTCCCCAAGATCCTTATTTTAAACAATATATATATTTTTTATAATAGCCAGGCACTTTATTTAATAGCCATTAGCCTTGTTCCATTGTAGAGACATTAGGTTTTTTTTTTTTTTTTTTTTTTTTTTTTTTTTTTAAGCAGAAGAGATGAAAAATTAGCAACCGCCTACGACAGGAAACGAACCACGGACCTCTAGAATACCGGCCCCGCGTGCAGAACCACTACACCACGAAGGCATGCCAGAAAAGCGGGAGATATACCTTATATACTCCCCTTTTAAAAGGGCGACTGGGGTTTTTAAGGTACCCAATCACCAAATCCTGGGTGTGGAGAGTCATCATCTACAGCCCTTTTAGTTCGGGCACCACTGTAAAGACATTAGGTAATTTTTTTTTGTTTTTGTTTTGTTTTGGGGAAGCAGAAGAGATGAAAAATTAGCAACTGCCTTTGGCAGGAATCGAACCACGGACCTCCGCAATACCGGCTCAGCGTGCAGAACCACTACACCCGGAAGGCAGGTCAGGAAAGTGGGAGATATATCTTATAACATAACAAGGGACGGAAATCGTGGTCATTTCAGTATGCACCTAATAGGTGGCCACCATTGTCTCCTATGAAGAGATGAACAGTTACAGCCATGTTTCTCCAGAATTTGAACCCACCCATCACTATGGCAGTCAGAATGAAAATTTAGCTTTATTGCTAGATAATTAAAATATAACACTTTTTTTTTCCCATATATGTTATATAGGAATATTAAGTAAAAAAGAAACACCTAAGTGCATACACGTCTTTAATAAAGGTTTGAAAAAACAGGATACTTTTTTAAGTGCTGCTATTTCATAAATTAATAATATTCAAATAGTTTTACGCATAGCTTAAAATACAGAAAAATAGCAATCCCGTGTTTGACATTGATTTTAATTAAAACTCTATTGGTTTTGAGAACAAACATATACAAGTCCCTTTTTGTTAGTAGCAAAAGAAATTTTACAACTGTATTTATATCAAAAACAAAGTGGAAAGCAAACATGAGCATAGTGCAGTCTGTTCAGAGAAATATTAAACAAACATGAAAAATTAGGACATTAAAATTTTAAAGCGTTAGGAAGAACTGAATTGCAAGTAATGCCATTAACAAAACAACTTAAATTTCACAGATGATCACAATCACAAATCAAAATTGTGATTAAATTTCCAGTTTTGATTATATATTGAAGATTTGTTTATTTCTCTTTTTCAGACATAAGATCTGCTTTCACTGAAGCATCATTTTAATGCTCTTTTAGTTTGGATGATATACAGTACAAAGTCTTTAATCCGGACCTCAAAGCTACAAACTTTCTATGCATGCGCAAAATACCTTTACACATGCGCATAATAGGTTTATGCATGTGCATTTAATGTATAATGGACGGTATAAGCTAGGCTAAAATTATTTAATTATCTATTTCAGTTAATGTTGCAGATTGCGTTGTTCCTTAATCTTCTAATTGGATCCGACTTATTATTTTTTGCAGACTGTTAGAGCAATTTTATAAAAAGTAGGCTTGAACTTTCAATTATGTCAAAAAGAGTTTCCGATTCCGGAGCTGCAAAGGATGTACAAAGCGAAAGCATGTTTTGATCATGAGCATAGTGCAGTCTGATATCCATCAAACAAAAAGTGTAATTGCTTCAAAAAATGGATAAAGGCATATTCTTTGTTTCTCTAACCATTCCGAAATCTGTTTATCAATTTCCCGTTGCTCTGCCGGGAGGGGGGCACAATGAACTGGAAGCTGATCTGTCAGCACTATCCTCATCTTCAGCGCAGATAATTTTATTTTATTCGGCTTATGATTCCTTACTAAATGTAGTATTTCATCTCGATGTACTCCATCTTTGATATGATTTAAATCAAATTCCTCGTCATTATAAATATCATGAATACACATCAAATAGTTTTCTGGTTGCAATTTTCTAATTTCGATTATGCGTAATGTATGCTTTATGCATGTGCGCGTTGAAAGAAATGTTTAATAAAGTAAACAAATAAATAATAAGCATTTTTTTTTTGTAAATTTTGATACCCTTTAGATTATAATTGCTCTTTATTTCATAAATTACGATTTCATATTTTTAATTTTATAATTTCTGCATGCCATCTTACCAGATTTAAACCGATGATCTATAATCCGAAAAAAACCCTAATCCGGAATCGCCGAAGTCCCGACAAGTCTGGATTAAAGACTTTGTACTGTATCTAAAAAAGCTCCTTGACAAGATATGCTATAAATTCCCCAAGCATCAAAGATGGAGATGTGCTTCCTAACACATATTTAGATTTTTTTTTGCTGCACACTTTCTTTGTGGCATACATATGGCTGTGATTTCTACCTTCTTTGCAGAATTTTTCAGCTCCTTATTAAGAGGGACCTATATCTGTTTGCCTTGAAATCAATATTTTTATTTATCTGAATCAACCAGTCAACTGAAAGATATTTCTGAATCTGTATTAAAATTCAGTTAATCCTCTAGCAACATAGGATTTTCATTGCCATATTCATCCATTTTTCATTAAGAAAAAGGGGGAGGGCGAATAAGGTGATTTGGATTCACAAGCCTTGCATTTAATAGAGCAAATGTTCTCTGAAGCAGAATTTTCAATCCCACAGGAAATAAACTGGATGGAACCATTTCAAATGATATGAACAAGTTGTGCCATCTATTTAGAGATATTTAGACTAAATAACTTGACAAGTATTAAAAATGCAGGCAAAACAAAAAAGGAGAATGGGAAAGTATTGATTCCCACAAGCTGAATAGGGAAACTAGTTGGGCTCAACTTTGAATAGCCTGTACACCATGCAGGTAAACTAGTTAAGGGGTTATAAGCTAATGGAAGACATTTACTGTATTCCAAACTGTACATAACCTTGTTTCTCAACTTACTTCATCCTCATTAATTACACAATATCACACGAGAATTCAATTACCTTCGGCCTTCTTCCTTTCAAGATGGCATTACTTCTGATTTGCTACCCTCAGCACTTAACCAGACCTACAAAAAGCTATGATTATTCAGAAAACTAACATTTGATACTCCTCTTTTTTTTTTTTAAATGAGTGCAGTCAATCAGGGTGGCTAAAAAAATTTCCCCATTAAGCGCCCAAGAATTGTAGTTAAGTAACTACATGAAACTTTTCTTCTTCTATTTAAAAAAAAAAAAAAAAAAAAAAAACTGAAATTTTCAGGAAAATGCTCAAATTTAATGAAGCAACAAAGAAATTTTTTTTTTAAATTTCATAATTTAATAATGGCAAACAATATTTTAGACTAGATTTGGCTCATTCACTTCTAGCAAAGGCTCCCTTTCTTCCCCCTTTCAATTTTATATATCAGTATACCTTAAAATTATTCTGTTTTTAATCATAATGACTTCACTCTCTTCTTTTCACTATGGAGAACAATTAAATAAACAACTGTGCCACATAATGACAATTTTAAAATTTAAGGAAAAACAGAATTTCAATGCATGATATTGGAAATATGTTACTTCAAAATATCAGTTATAATATATTTATATGGAGCCTCTTTTAAGAGCGTTCATTATTATTATGATACATGGAAGTAACTAATTGTCTTTAAATCCTTCTAAACCTTCTGCCCTCACACTTATAAACTTTATTGGCAAAGGATTGATTCTTCATTGCCCAGAATTTCCTATTTGTACTTATCAAAGCTTTTTGTAGTTAATCTATTTAATTTATTGTGGACCATGGTTTATTTGGTTCTTCAGTAAAAGGGGTTTGCAGAAATTTTCCTACCTCCTCGAGTCTAACCTGAAAGGCATTGTTTTGAAAACTATTTGTATACACTAGAGCCTCGAGGATGCATAATTTCAAAATCTTAAGGAACTAGACTAGAAACATGAGTTTTGAAATTGAATAAATAAACCATGAAGAAGAATTTTTTACATCTACTGTCGACATAAGTTCTAACATTTTGAAAATGCCTAAATGAAAAGATTTAAGTCTGAAAGAAAAGAATAAATTACAATCTCAATGTTCCTGGTAAGTGCAGCCGGAGAAAAAATGCATTTAAACTTTGAATTTTCCAAGCAGCAATGGCCAGTCTACTTAAGCAAATAATTATAACTGATGAAGGACAGATAAAATGTGCAAATGTCTCAAAGAATCGCAAAAAAGGAAAATCCAAAGATGCTGGAAATTCCTTCTTGGAATGGCTTCAAACTACAAGTATGATACAAAAAAATATTTCATTGCTAAATATTCTAAAATAGTCTTATATTCTGGAGATCTTTTATTATAAAAGTTGTTGTATTTGCTAAATTGCTAGGAGAATTTTGTGCAATTGACGGGTTGCTTACAAGCTGGAAAGAGAAAAATAACATTGTTCACTGAAAATAGGTTGAAGAGAATAAAGAGGAACATCATCATGTAACTGATAACAAGATAAATGACATTTTACCTGGGCTGCTAAATGAATGCAAACCACAAAAATTTTATAATACAAATACAGATGAAAATAGACCATGTAACAAACACATTAACAGAACATATGTCAATGTTTAAAAGGAAAACAGCAAGACAATTAAAAAAAAAAAATGAAGAAAAGCATTACTGTGTTGTTAACATACAACATGAACACCAAAGTTTAAAAGACAGCACTGGTAATTGATAGAAGCAGAAAATGTTATGTTTGAAAGAAGTCAAGAATTTACCTCCAACTTATCACAGCAACAGGAACTCAAGATAAGAAATATTTGTACTGAGGATTTTTTTTTTTTTTTTTTTTTTAATGGGACATTGTACTATAAAATGAAAAAAATAGCTTTACTGTGCCGCACACACCTCTGTCTGGAAAACATTAGAGTCTGTTTCTGCAATATAATTCTAACATTTAGCCTTTAGACCAAGATATTATAAAAACCTTTCAAATGTCACTGCAGAAAAGATGTTCAGAAAATGATAAACAAAATTCAATCATGTGAAAATGCAAGCATTTTGAAAGAGTATTAAGTTAGCATTCTGATAGAGACCATGCATATTATAGTCAATGCAGAGGGTGAATCTCTTAAAACACAATTAAAAACTATTTTTCAAATATATGGGTTTTATGTAGAAGAAGCCTGAGAGGAACTGAAAGCCATTCTGAAGCTAATGTTTCAGAAATCACCGATGGAAGTAATGACAATTTATTTTTACAATATATTTCATTTGATGACAATATTAAGGCAACAATATGCAAAATCTGACTATGGCACTATAGAATATGTTAAAAGAACTGCACACACTGACAGTGAAAATAATATAGGAGAATGTGATTATATGCCAACATCAATCAAATTTAGAAAAGCACAGCAAGTTCTAAAACAAACTCTTGAATGGAAAAGTGCCGATCAAAAAAGTTAGCAGGTTTACGAAATTGAGAATATAACTGAAAAACTGTGACAAACAATATGAAACAAACATGGCTATAACAATTTAGAAATCTCATCAAATACATAATTATAAAAATATTTCTTAAAAAAATTCAAATAAATTCCAAGACTGCATACATAACTTTAATTTTAGCATTAATTTTTAATTATTATTTTAGGATTAATTACTTGATTAACTGCTATTTTACTATGTTTAAAATTGTTATTAAAATTTGCAGTACACATATTGGTTTTTATTAAATTCAAATATGTTTGGAATGGAAGCGATTTTAATAAGCAGCAGGCACTATATTCCATAACTCAAATTTATCCATCAAATTTACAGGTATCCTAATGCATTTTAAAATTATTACTATAAGTATATAACATTAAATTGTGTATTTTCTTTTACCTGTTCGAAAAACAAACAATTACAATTAGAAGGAAAAAATCATATAATTCTTGATCATACCGAAAACTTTCAAAACGGCTTTTGATGTTTCTCATTTTGGCAACAAAACATTTATGAGATAATATTACTGACAGAAAAGTACTGAAAAGCAATTATAAAAATTTGAACATTAAAGCCACATTTTAATATTTTATATGTTAAAAGTCAATTATGTTTGATTAAACCTAAACTACATTAGTTATAGGAGGATATAATAAATACATGATTTAATGAAGAGGTATCTTATACAATATGTTAACTAAGAGCAACAACTCACCATTCATATAGTAACCATCTCCATATACCACAGATTTTGACACAGAATATGGCGGTGTTTCTCGTTCATATGTCTCTGACCCATAATTCTGTAAGAGAAAAAACAATTCAAAAACAGGGTTCATACATATTTCAGCACATGGAAATTAAATACTTTTAAAGACCCTCAAAGAAAAAAATTGAGGACTTAGGAGCAAATAGGAACTGAATAAACTAAGGCAATTTTCTATACTCAAACTTCTGTAATACCACTTTTGTAATTCATAAGAATAAAATAAATCTGCAAGTAGGATAAATTATTATTAAACCTAATCTAATACTTGACTCAGCATTAAATTATAAGATTTCTTGAAACATTTATATTTTACACTTATAAGAGTCCTACATATTTTAGAGAAGATGAGTGACCTTTTTCTTTAAAATTTACTCACAGTCAGTACTAATTATTTCTAATGCCTCATTTCATCATGTACTCGCTCAGTCCAAAGGTTTATGCAGATTTTATCTCTAGCATAAGTTAAATTGAGAAGTAAAATAATAAACAGCATGCTAGCATAACCGACGTTTAGTAGTTACCTCTGGCTACTTGCTTAGAGACAGAAATCAGAAATATTTAGAGACATGATCAGAAAGGTGATAACTCAACATGTAGAGTAACTTATTATATTATGTAATTATGTAGTAATTACTTAGTTATATCCCTTATCATAATAGATTTATATGGTTACAATTACATTTTGTTTTTAAATTTCTAAAAAATATCCATTAAAAAAGCACTAAGCACACATTTTACAGCAGTTATAATTTATTACACTAATTCTAAAATGATATTCGTATAATTATACATTAAAAGCTACAAAATATTTGTGTTTTGCAACAACAACAAATATTAATGCATCTTTTTAATTTGAAAATCTTCCAGATAGCTGAGCTAATTGAGATCAATTTCCTTCTCTTTTGCATCTTTTTCAAGTTTATTTGTTTCAATAAATAAATCACTGTTCCCACTAGTCTCTGTTTCATCTCCTAATTTGTTAATGTTTCAAGGATGTACCTCTGAAGAATACCTTTCTCCCGTTTAGGAAATCAAGTTTCCTCTTCATTTTAGAATTTTCAGATTTAATTAAACATTTGTGTTATTCTAAAAAACTGCTTGCACTTCGAATGTATAGAAGAAATTGTTAATTTTGTATTCTTTAATAATAAGTATTGAGAATAAATGTGAAATGATACAAGGTCAGTACTGGTGCCAGTGCCAGGGTGGCAGAATTTTTAGAATTTAGTTAAGAACCAAGCAACAAAATATAGGGATGACAAAAATTTCAGAATTTAGTGCAAGCACTGAGAAATGTATAGTGCACTGTGACATAAAAGATGAATCTTTTAATAAAATGTTAGTTTTCAGTTTCTTTCTTTGTTTCAATGCTTGTGTCTAGTGAAAAGACAAGAAAATAAAGGGAAGATAAACATGTTAAGACTTTTGGTATCAAAACAAGAAAATTCATATAATTTTGTTTTCACTCTTCTTTCAAAATTTCTTTAAAAGATAAGAAATTTATCATAAATTTTCTACAAAACACATCTATTATGTGTTAATGCCATGAAGACAAGTTTTCATTTTGTCACATTTTCCTGGAATTGTAGGTCTATAAATCTTGTCTATAAATCCATCTAAACCTTCTGAGATGCTTAGGTCTAAAAATCCTTTACCAACTTCGTAAGAGCAAAATGCTAAAAAACATTTGGAAAAAAAAAAAAAAAAAGGTTTGGAAAAGAAAACCGTACAACGAATTCTCAAAGCGGATACAGATTTAAATACTTTGACACAATTACATGGTAAAAAAGGTCTTATCATAAAAAAATACAAAAGAAAACAAATAAAATTAATTTTAAAATAATTACAGCAGCCTTTTTGTTTTATTCTAAAAAGTGCTTCAGAAACTGTGCTTTATATTTATAGCACTTATTATTTTGTTTATTTTTCAAAATCAAAATATGAAGCCACAAAAATGAAAAGTTATCTTTAAAATAGGGCAGAAGAAAATAAAAATGCTTTAACATTATTTTTTAAATATAATTTTAATACGTTATCATTTTTATGATATTTAACAGTTATATTTGAAAAAAAAAATCATCCAAAAATTTGCAAATTTCCGAAGTACACAAACTAATCTGGAAATCGCAAAAATGTTTAAAGTCGCCAAATTTAGCACCACAAAATAAAAGACTCGTATTTCAAAAAAAGGAAACGTTTTTTTCCATGTAATAGTTTATGAAATTCGCAAAAGAGAAATAATTTCAAAATGTTATGTTTTAGTCGCAGCAGCACCTAGTGCCTAAAATTAGAGTATCCACCGTTTGTATTAGGAAAAGAATTCTAACGCTAACCCCTCAAATAATATTCCTTCAAAACGTTAACTTACACTCTCAAAATGGCAGAAACAGATGCAAATGTCAGATAAGTAAAATTAAGGGCTTCATGTCGATTTTGGCCGAAACTGAGGACTTTTCATGGACCATAATCGTTTCCAAAAAACTTAAGTACTTTTAAGGATCATACAAACCCTGGAAACGTGATTATATAATATATAAGCAATAGCAGTCGGTAAAAACATTAGTGAATTTTATTGATCAACAGAAATCATGATGAACCATAAAAGCTAAAATTTAATTTTCAAAAGGTCTTTTATCGGGACAGAATGTATTATAGCTTATTATGGTTTATTCTAGTTTCAGCCAACGGAATAGGAAAGTGTAAAAATAAATAAAGGGATTTCCTATTCCCCCCCCCTCTAAATTTGCAAGAGAAGTTTTCCAGGAGCTGAGCAGGTGTCCCAGAGGGTTCGGCGCTAGTCGCTCGTGTAGTAAAAGGGAGAAAGTGTAGAGCAAAATAAACAGCCCAACTTCTCTCAGAGCACCGTAAAAAGAATCAAAACAATGCCTACCCCCTCCCCTTTACACGGTTTCTTTAGACGAGCAGCTCCTCAGAGGCGGAATTTGTTAAATAATCGAAAGCAAAAAGCGAGGAATAAAATCTTTCCAATTTATTTTAGATGGTGGAAACTTATTGGAATGCGAACGTCACCTCCAAGGACCACAAAAAAGTTTTCATAGTTTTCGGTCTGTAACAATCGCTGCTTTAAAATTCATCTTCGAAGGATATCGGCCATGGCGAATGAATAACAAATATTTCATTCACAAGAAACATTTCACAAAAAGGATGTTAAAATACCGGGGGTAAAGGAAACCACTAGTATCTTATTTTGAAGCAAGAGTCAATGTAAATAAAAATAACAACGGCAATTCCTAGTAGAAAATAATCATGAATTGTAATTAAGGAGGGGTTACAGAAACAAAATAAATATTAATATCAAGGAAAGATATATGAAAGAAAACTGTTAAACATTACATTTTATCTATAGGAACATTTTATCTATGAGGGACATTTTGTCCCTGAAGGACTATTGTTTTCATTTTGCGATTTTGCGTCCGAACCCTACAAACGGCGCATCACTTTTCAAATCGTTGCCACCAAATACTATCGCCCTGTATTATGTTTGAAGAAATTAAGTAATGAAGAATCTGCATAAATGTACGTATGTTTCTCGCATTGTAATAAAACAATGGTACCTAGAGCCATCCAATTATGAATGACGTAATCCTACTGCGAATTCGAAATTTGTCTTATTACCTATTTCATATTTTGTAAAATTTTAAGAGTTTTTGATTAACAAACTGAATGATTTAAAATAGAGCAATGGCAACACTCTACGGGAAAGAGGGGGGGGAGAAAACCCCAAAACTTTTTATCCCTAGCGCGCGTAACTGAGTATCGAAAATTCTAAAGATACGCTCATTTTAAAATTATTTGCGACATTGCTGTTGAACTGAATTTTACGGTTTAAGTTCAAAGAACATGATATTTAATAAATAAAGGTAACACACAAAACGTAAAAAAAAAAAAAAAAAAACGACCCTTTGGACGTAATTTAAAATCTGAAACATTTCAGTTTTTTTTTTTTTTAATTTTTTTCATACATCACGTTTGCGCATTTCATATTTTTTCACAATAAAACATGTGGAGAATAAAACACATTTCACAATAAAACGATTTTTTATTTCAATTCGGCTCTAAGAACAACCTGGCGAATCATTATTAATTATTTTTTGCTTTCATCGCCTCAGGGCTATCAAACAAAACACGCTGCAGTTTGAGAAATGATTCCCGTAGCCATGTCTAAACAACAATTTATTATTATTTTTTAAAAATCTTTGTAACTATATACCATACAGCATGGTAACCTTTAGGTTGATATTACGCTTGAAGATTATAGGCTTCAGCTAAGTCCGCTGCTGAGTGTGTTGGCGAGGCGAAATTAAACATACATTTCTTTCCATATGCAAAAAGATTTTGTAAATGTTACTCATAGGCCAAAGGATTACATATAGTGGTGTTTGAATTTAGAACAATGATTTGGTATTCAGGTAATCCCAGGATTACCAGCAGCCAGAAAACGTCTAGCGACAGCCCTGGATAATCCTTAAGTATATGCGGGACTTTATTTATTCTGGATTCAGATAAGCTTTAAGCATGTGCGGGAAGGCGAAAATATAATAAATAACTAATATAACTGAGAGTAGTAACCGCCCGTCCTCCGTAGGCGTAAATGACGTCACAGAACAGGGACGCGGTCGCCGCCATCTTGGACCACGTGACAACAGGAAGTGACGTCAATGGATGGGGTGACGTAGACGGAATGACGTCATACATACGTCATTCGTTCTTGTTCTGTGGCAACGACCCTATTTTCAAAGTTTTTATTTTTTGTGGCAACGACAATATTTTTTAGATTTTGTGGCCAAGGTATCTTGAACCACATGTTTAGATATCACTTTTTAATTATTTGATAAGTGATTATTTACTCTTTCTAATGCGTATTTTAATTATTTAATACGTCATTATTTTAATTATTACCTTTAATTAATTTTTATTGAATTTAATATTATTTTCCCTGAATTTTAAAAATAACCCCCACGAACGGGATTCGAACCCGCATCTCTTTCTCTTGCATGGGAGAAAAAGAGCGTT